TTCCCCCGAGAACCCCCTGTAACATTTCACAAACCCCAGTTTGGGAACCATTGTTTTAGATTAAAAGTAAAACAAGGTTATTAATAAAAGGAGATAGGATTTTAAGCGAGTTCAGGTACAGAGGGTAGAGTTAGAAATGGTTCCAAGCAAATAAAAGTGAAAAATGCTTTCTAGAGACTCAGACTTTAACAAAACTACAGTCTTGGTTCAAGGTAAGATTCTTATAATACTACCTTCCAGCAAGATGGCTGACCACCCCTCTTCTCAGGATCTCCCACAAAGTCCAAAGTGCTCTGTTCCTTTGTCTTCAAAGGTGAAAGATAACTTGGGATTCCTTGTCTCTCTTTTATAGCCCAGTGAATCTTTGAAACGGATTTTTCTGAAGGTAACCCCCAAAGTAAAGTTCATTCATGCTGTGTGCAAGGAGACCTGGCATTTCTTGGTGAAGGCAATTCCATGCTGGTTTCTTCTACTGCTGGTGTTAGATTGCTATTCAACTGTGATGACACCTGTCTGGAGGTGTCGGCCTGTCCCTTTTCTGAGGGAAATTTGTTTACCCATGCCCCAGACTTGTCAGGTAAACACATTTTAGTTCCATGTTTCCTTCATACCTGTACAGTCCCTTGGATGTTTACTCTGCATACATACCACAAAAATATTAATGATCAGTGTGTTATTAGTTTTCCAATGATACCTTATATGGCACATCAGAGAGTTTATGACGTTAATGAATTGGGGCACAGTGAACTGCTTACACCAGCTGAAACTCATTACCAGATACCATTGAGCCCCTTGCCCTCTGACACTAGGATGCTGTTAGGATTGAACACTCTAAGGCATGTTTTCTAATCCTTTAGTCATTCTCGTGGCACTTCTCTGAACGGTCTCCAATTTATCAACATCCTTCTTGAATTGTAGGCACCAGAACTGGACACAATATTTGGGCAGCAGTCGCACCAGTGCCAAATACAGAGGTAAAGTAAACCTCTCTGCTCCCACTTGTGATTCCCGTTTATGGATCCCAGGATCTTTTTGGCCATAGCATCATGCTAGCTCAGATTCAACTGATTATTCACCATGCCTCCACCCCCCGAATTTTTTTTGCAGCGAGAGTTGCCGCTCTCAATCCTGGAGTTAATAACTTAAGCTTTGAGGGGCAGGGCTTAGACCCCCTTCCTCTCCTTAGCATTTCCTACTGGCTAGCTTAGGCAGCTCAGCAGACTGGCACCTGTGGATCCCATTCTTAGGCATCTAACTCTCCCCGTGTCTTGTATAGGGAACTGGGTACCTAACTCAGGGCTTGGAGGATTCCACTGGGTAGCAGGGCACATAAAAATTGTTATGCTGCCTACATCCCTTTGTGGAGCTTGCCCCAAGACAATTTTTGTAAGTCAATTGGACTTGGGCATTTTGAAAAATGCACACTGCCTAGAGATAGCTCTAGGTGGCTAACATTAGACCTCTATATTTAACATTTTGGGGCTTTTTCTTTTCTAGATCTCAGTTTTCCCACTTACAAATTGTAACTAGCGCCTCCCTGCTAGGGGTGTTTGTAAAGTGATTTGAGCTTGTCTAGAGAAGGGAAAAGTGGAGGTGGGAGAAATGAAGCTCCAGGATGAGTAAGAAATGTGTTTAGTGGTTCAATAAATAGGACACACCCAGTCAAGTAAAAACAAAAATCCCACAAAGGGTTTTAGTTATTCCTCCAGTTCCAAAGATTTGCACTTTATAACCTTTTGCTTTTCCTCACAGTGGGAGTTTTTTCAGTCATACCATCCAGCACTGTGACCCCAATAGATAGGTAAGGCTGAGTCAGTATTTGGGTGCAAGATGCCTAGAAAATACCTTGTTTGCTGCAGGAAGTGGGGGTGGTATTTTGTAACTAGTGATCTTCTCTCTAACTTGGTATGGATCCAATGCCCCAGGATAATATTGAGGAACAAGAAGGTGCCTTCTTTTTGAAGAGACATAAAACACATGTGAAGATGTCACAGAACTTTTGTCAGGGAGGGTGTTAGCCCAGATGACCTGATCAAATTTCATTTCAGGAAATTACACTCTACCCCCTGCAGTTTGAACTGGTGTGATGGGATGCAACTAGCCCGTGCACCCTCTTCTGGTAGTGTCTTGCTACTATCACTTCTGCTCCAGGACCCCATCACTCCCAGGACCATGGCATGCTCTCCATGACACAGCCCTATGGCTGTGCCACGCTCTGTTCTCCCCCTTTTGGGGGAACTGCAGTCCACTGTCCAGCCACTTCCTTCAGTGGCTACTTCCTCAGTGGCAGGGGGGAAGAGACAGACTGCCTACTATTCCAGTCCCAGCCCAGGGACCCTGTAGATGGCCACCACTTGCTGTGTCCCCTCTGACTCCTCAGTTAATTTCCCTAGGCCACTTCCCCTTGGCCCCCAGCACCTTTTTTGCCCTTACCTCAGGGCTTCACCCCGCCAGTCTTAGCAGCTAACCAGGAGCTCTCTCTAGCTTCCTCCATCCCTGCTGGCAGCACTGTTCTGTCCAGGGTGCTGGCACTTCCTTCTCCTCCTAGGAACCTGATTTTGCCTCCTCAAGCTCCTCTGCCTTGCAGCCCTTCTTAGAGGGGCCTGCCCAGCCCTCATTGGCTGCTCCTCACAGCCCCTCTCCTATTGGCTGCTTTCTGTGCCACGTCCCTAGGGCTCCATTAACCCCTTACAAGCCAGTGTAAGGTGGATGCCCCATCACAGCTGGACACAAAAATCTTATTCACTGCTTTTCCTACTTGTGTGCTGCTGTTATATTGGGGGGAGGGATAGCTCAGTGGTTTGAACATTGACCTGCTAAAGCCAGGGTTGTGAGTTCAATCCTTGAGGGGGCCACTTAGGGATCTGGGGCAAAATCAGTACTTGGTCCTGCTAGTGAAGGCAGGGGGCTGGACTCAATGACCTTTCAAGGTACCTTCTAGTTCTAGGAGGTAAGTTAATGGAGATATCCTATGTCCTACTTCAATGCAGTGGGGGAATTTATACGTATAAATCCTGTTAGCATCTGTGAAAGTCATTTGTGTAAATTTCCATCTGCTGTGTGGAGAGAATACACCCTTTAACCTGGGAAGCACTGGTGCTTACACACCATAAAATAAAATTTAAAAAAGCAACACTAACACCAATGGCCAAACTTTGTTCAATAGCTGTATGCGTTAGCTCAGGCAAACCTGGGTGTTAGTTTACTCCTAATCTGCATAAAACAGGGCACATTGCACCCATCCTCAGCTTTACTATGAAGGTTCAGTCCATGGTGAGTATAGGTTCCAGCACACAGAGCTTCATCTTATGCCTAGTAACAGTCTGGCATTACCTGTAGCTGTTGTGGTAAAAATTCTGTATGAAAAATTAATACAGCTGCAGGCTGTACTGTCAAATTCCATTTGCTGTATTTAGCCACTCCAAACTTAAAGGGACTCTCAAGAACAGATGTAAAATGTGATGTACCTTGATTTTTTTTCTTAAGGCCATGTTCAAACTTCATGCTATTCCTTGGAGGTAGGCTCTTTTTCCTCTACCACTTCGATACTTTTTGTCCCTGTGCTTCCCAAAATAAACCTACCTCAAAACAATGGCCGCAACGGAGTCCTGGAGAGCAGCTCTATTACACCACCCCAAGGTATGTTCATATTCCAGGGAACCATGATCAGAAAACGGCTTTAAAATTTCAAGATTCTAAAGAATGGAGTGTGTCCAATGGTTAGGGCAGGGCCTGGGAACTAGGACTCCTCTACTTGTTGCCAATGCTGTTGCTGGACTTGTTTATGACTGTTGATAAATCACCTTAGTTTTTCAGTCCATCTATTTACCTAGCTGCAAAATGGAAATTCCACTATCTTTCTAAAGCATAATGAGATCCTTTGATTCATTACAAGCATTTATTTGGCACCTACTAACATGGTTGTGGAAGCAGACATGGTACAAAGTTTAAATGGAGACACTTAAGATCTCTAGTTTCTCCTATTAACACTGCTCCTCTTCTGCAGAAAGGTGGTGCTGTGCAAGTGCAAAGGATTTATTACTGGTTCTTTGGATTTTATGAACAGTTCTCTTGGCTCCCACTGATTATCTTAATGAAGCACCTCAGTGTAGAGACTCTGTGTACCACCAACTGCCTGTCTGCCATTCAATTGGGTGCATTTAAGCCTGCTATGTAACTTGGGCTGCTCCATTGCACTAGTTGTTCAAGCAGCATGGCAGGTTAATGTGTGCAAAATTGAAGAGGAAGCAGCAAACACTCACTGACACAGCTGAGGACGTAGTTGGTAAACTAGCCAATTTTCTTGAAAAGTCTGAATCAACAGCAATTAGTCAACCCCCCCCGCCCCCCGGACAGTAAGCACATGAGGGATGATTTGACAAAGAGGGTGTGCTGTATATAACAACCGTGGATATTATTCATGCTGAGAAAAAAAGCAAGTAACGTTTAGCACTGAGTCAAGTGAATCAAACATTCACATATATTTGCTGAAAAAATTATATACATCTGTGGCAAGGCTCTGCCAAGTTTGAAAGATAAGCATCATCTAGTCACTAAATTAAAAAAATAAAAATTTGACTTTTAAATCTTTTTCTTTTTTATCCATGTTCAAGAGCACAGACAGTTTATTTTGTTAGCACATTTGGTGGAAAATGTATGTTTGTGTGAGTGTCCATGAAAGTGGTGAAAACTGGGTATTTGTTCTAGGATATGATGATGGAAAGTAATAAGAAGCCACTTATGCCTTACAATGTAAATAATCCACAGAGTTTCTCTATCGGATTTCAAAAAGGGTCACACAATAGCAGCCAAAGAGAAGCCTAAACACCCAGAGACTTAACATACATGTTTGATAAGTAAGAACATGCTGGCTAGTTAAATACATTTCACTTTGAACCCTGTTCCTTATGAGTGCAACCCTGGAAAAACAACCATCCCATATAAGAAATGGACTCTGCAGAGATTTCTATACCCATTCACAGTAAGGCTTTGAAGATATATGAAGTTTTATAGCATTTGTATTTTAAGGATTTAGGGCAAGTACATGTTCTACTGAATAAAAAGAAAGTTAGTACTTAAAAGGTTCAAAAATATATCAATCAAGTGATTTTTTTACATAAATAAATTATATTGATTTTGGATTTAACAGCTGAAAAAACCCTTTCTGCTTCCACTGGAGGCAAAACTGAACAAACTGTTAGTTAAATAGAGATAGCAGCATTTCTAAGAAATCTGTCGATAATGATACAGTATCTATGCTACAAGGGTGTTATTAAATAGAACACATTTAATGATCTGACTTTTGTATTATGATCAGTTACATAATTTTTTTAAAATCACATCCAATTCAATAAAGTGGGAATAAATTCCTTGAAAATATAATTTTTTAGGTCATGGGTAACAGACTTCTTTGAGATGCTAATTGTAACATGTACATAATTTATAATCCCAAATGTATAAAAGACAGTGACAAAAAGCATCATAAATAAATAATGCAAACTGAAATAGTTATGTCAAAACATTTGGACCATCTGATAAATTAGGAAAACTGTAACAGAAAATAAGTAAAAAATACAGTAAATGGTGACAATCAAATGCAAAACTGATTACTAGCACACTTCAGCTCCCTCAAACAGTCTGCCATTTCACTGCTGCACCACTAAGTGTTTATTTCAAGTCTCAAACCATGAGCTGCAAATAAGAACAAGCCCAAGTGAAAGAAAAACTAAACAGGAGCAGTGAGGAGAGAGGACGACATGGAGTTTACCTGTGGAGGTGTCTCAAGACACAGAGTTTGGGGGACTGATCACATTAAAAACCCGTTAATTTAAAATGCATACTGTAGAATTATTTGCCAACGGGACTGCTGGGAAACACTGTTCAACAGCAAATAGAACAAAGAGGAATGGAAAGAAGAAGCAAAAATAATCTCTTCACAGTCTAACCCTAGAAAAGGAAGATGAACACAAGCTTTGAAAACCTCAACAATCCTTCTCAAAGGACTCACAATTGTAAAGCCAGCCCAACAGCTTTCTGTCTGTTTATTTTGTTTTGAGAAAATATGTCACTTATGGGGGGAGGAGGAGAACTGTAAAAAAAAAATTTAAAAACTCAAAAGCCTCAGTATTCATATAAGAGCATTATATGAGTGGCCTGTTCATTGTTGGAAAAACAACTCTTTACAGGACTTCTGATGCCATAGATGAGAACTGAATACTAGCAGACCGGTGAAGTAACTGGTAGCTTTAGGTACAAGAACCTCAATGAAAGACATGCAGATGTGCAAAACCTTTTCAGCACAAGCTGGAAAAGTTCTTGTAACTAACAAGGAAAGGGCAACTGAAAGTCCACTAAACATAAAAAAAAACTTTGGTTTAAAAAAAATATAAAATAAAGTCTACGTAATCTTTTCACTTACTGCAGTTTGTCTCCAAAACTCCGAGGAGTGAAAGGGGGGGAAATTATATCACTACCAGTTATGCTTTTTTAAAAAGAAATTAATATATGCATTTTCAATCATTAGTTATATACTTCTGTCTATACTACTATTCTAGTAACCATGATAAAATAGGGAAATACTTTAAATCAAAAATACACATTAGCACTTACTATAGCTGTGCTTTTTACCCCAAAATACAGTTTTATTCATTCAGTGTCACTGTAAAAAGGAATATCCTTGTCTGCTTTGAGATCAAGAGATGAAAGTACTTTCTTTTGCTCCGGTTCTGCTTTTTTCTTTTTCCCCAGATAAATGAGCAATTTTGGGGGTGACCAAGTGCTGGATTTACTATTGTTGGTTGGGATGAACAACTGGATAACAGAAGAAGAATTCTGTGCCTCCCATACTAACTAGACAACACTGTTTATCTAATAAAGTGGCAAGACCCTGCAACTATTAACATATAATATGTCACCATAGTTTTCTTACAGGGAATTAGGTAGATAATATTACTCATGGAAACACAGGTTTTATGAAGGTGAAGAGGGGGCAGGAGGGTAAGTAACAAATATTTATGGGATAAGAAACTTACAAGCCACAATCTTTTTTCTTAATGAAACAAAAATTCTAATCGGTATTGTTAATTTCTTTTAACTCCTTCTCTTCCACTTGTAGGTCATGTTCTTTCTCTGATGACAAAGATTGGGTTTGCTCTGTACAGTTTTGACTGTTTGCAGCTTCTTTTTCAGACAGTGAGACAGTTTCTGGTTCTGGATTTGTTGGTTCCCCTTTAGCTTTCTTTCTCTTCCGCTTCTGGCTTTCTAGATTTGTTGCCTCAGAGTGTCTGGTTTGTTGTATGCCTGGCAATGTCATGCCAATACCAGGGGAAAGAAACATAGATGGATAGAGCAGTCCAGGGGACATTCCTGGGATAAGAAATGGATTAAAAGCTACAGGACTACTGGTAGTTATTGCAGATTCTGTCTGATCAGAAAATGAACTAGGACCAGGTTTGTCTTCAGACAGAGGTTCATTTTTCACATCCTGGCTACTTTGTTTGTCCTCAGTAGCTTTTTCCATATTTGATGTACCACTTTTAGTTGTGCTTGTTAATGAAGCTGGAGCAGTTGAAGTACAAGTAGTTGTCATTGGTGGGTTGAGAAGTCCTCCAACACCAAACATCTGCGGTACAGTAGCCATGCCTGGCAGCATCATAGGCAACATACTTAGGGTGCTTTTGACATCCTCACCAGCAGGCACTGCTGCAAATCCAGCAGGAAACCCAACCAGCCCAGTTAAAGGGATGCCTTGCATGTTTCTCATGTTCTGAAGTCCCACTAGATCCATTCCAGCAATAAGTCCATTCATGAATAACGGTCCCATTCCAGAAGAAGAATCCGATACAACACCAGGGGCTTTAATAAGTTCACTTCTTGGCCTCCTCCCTCTTCGACGGGGCCCGGTGTCTCGGAGCACAGGCTCAGTTAGGATACGATTGAATTTGCTTTCTGGGAGGAATCCCTGAAAGTGACAAACAAAACAGAAAAAGCCCAAAGGTTATTGTAGCTCCAAAGAAAACTCAGCTTGTTGTCATGTGCTTACACCTGTGTTCCCAAAGGTAGCAACACACAAGCCCCTGTTGGTATGGTTCTGAAGATGGGATTTGAGAGGGACAGAGAACTTTCACCAAAGGGATGCTGTCAGTGCAAAACACCTCCCGCCCTGCCCCTGGCATGATGCTGCAGAGAAGTCCAAACGCTCACGGGGAGGAGAGGAGAAAGCACTTTTTGCTCTGTCTAGACAGTACAATTTCTGCTTTTCCTGAGCTTCCTGGGTGGGTGAGTTCTGTTGCTGAGAACTGACATCTTTAATGACATCAAAAGCACAGGGGCAGCCCAGAGTCAGTGACGCTAAATCAGTTCCCATCCCAGCTTGAATTCTGGCTGCATCACCAGGTGAAAAACATTATTTTTTAGACTTTAAGGGCCAAATTTTCAAAGCCCTGTACAACAGCAAAGCTGCAAAAAATGCACATGCAAACAGTGTGTGCTTATTTTCTGGAGCTCACCCATTACTTAGAGCTTTAATGTATGGCTCAAACCGTTTTGTATAGATATTAAACAATAAGGGTCTTCTGGACCCCCAGACATAGGGCTAACCTACACACATAGACTGGTGTGACTGTGTTTGTTTAAATTACAAAATAACCTAGGAGCATCTACAGAATAGAATTAAAACCTGTTATCCAGCATTCTTAGCACAAACATTTTAGTATCTTTCCTCTTACACTTAATTCTTGGGGTTTCAGGATAGCAAATAGGTTGCAAATGATGCATATTTAAATGGAAACATTTTGCATTTAGACTTGAAAAGGGTAGGAGCTCCATGCACTGCATGTGTCCTGCAGGCTGGATCAAAATATGTTGGAGGTTCACATGGAACAACTACTGCACATAAAGGGTAAATTTTCTACTCAGCCTCCACCTGTGCTTGTGGCAAACTGTGTGCGCACATGTGTGTGCCTGGACTTGGGAGGTGCAAACATCGCCCCATGCTAACGCTTGCTTGTGGGAGTGCAGATGCTAACAGACATGCAAGTGTTAAGCTAACTGAAAGGATGTACACAACAGTTAGCAGGCATGAAGGCCTTGGCATCAGCAAAGTGTGGGCACAAGTGGAGGTTGTCTCTTGAAAATGTATACAATAAATGCCAAACCCAGCCCCTGAAGGAAGCCTAATGACTCAGTGTGAGATGGACGTTGCACTGGAGGCTTGCTCTCTGGGCTGGTGGAGCTGGCACCATCCTTGCCTGGCTGCTCTTTGTTTCTTGAGGGAATGGGTCAGTCTGTCACTCTCTAGTGAGCATAACCCTTCAAACTGCCCATGCTCTCCTCCCACCTCCCAACCCAGCATGAGTGCCACACACAACTCCACAACCAAGAAGGGGGGGGGGGAGAGAATGGGGCCACATGAAAATGGAGTAACCCCACCCAAACACCAGCTGAATCTCCTTGCGATCCCTGTCCAAGGGAAGTAAGAGCTCCCACCCATGGCAGTTTGTTGCTCACTGGGGCAGTGACTCAGAGATTAGGAACAGAAAAAATAGTGGGGCAAATTTTGAAAAGTGCCTCCCTGCACATAAGGCCTGTTAGGCCATGAGACTTGCATGTTCCTTAGCAAATGTGGGATTTGCAGGAGTCGATACAGAAGCTGAGCTGAGGCCACTTTGAAAATCTGACTCATTTGGTCACATTTTGTCCGTTTCCCGTCCCAGTACAGTCCCATGCACGAGTGTTCCCTCTACAACATCTCTAGTGCCTTGTCTAGTCATTTCTAAACATCCCAAGTTTTAAATCTCTCTGTCAAGTAGATTTTCTTGATATTTAGCCTAAACTTGCCTCCTCCCGTTCCCATCACTGCTAAATATTTCCTCTTCCACTTTTCCTATCCACCCATCACCAATCTGCAGGGTGCTAAGCTCCTCCCTGAGTTGTCACTTGGCCACACCAGGCAGAGTTGGTCCTGTAGATATTCCCTCCCATGTGTGTAATTGAGGCCCTGCCTTCCAATTCAGGGACCCTCCTCGGAAAAACGGGGGTGGGGATGGGGAGGAGAAAGAAAAGATGACATGATACAGATTTCTCCAAAAGCTCTAACTTACTGAAAGCTTAACAATGTCAGCCCAGTCTGCTGCAACAGCATACTCCAAGTTTGCATCAAGCCACCTTGGCAATTCCTTCAATGCTGGTGCCATGGCTCCCCCTAACTATAAAACACAGTAAAAGGATGACCTCTGTTCCAGAAAGAGTTATGCAAAGTTACATAAGAAATATGATTAACCTTCTAGGAATACACATAGGTGAAGTGCAGCTGGCCTCCCTGTTTGGGGGCATTACCACTGCTCCCCAACACTCGACAGCTGTGATCATTTCTTAAAACCAAACAGCCTGGAGTTTTGTGGCATCAGCAACCCAAGTTTCACCCGCAGACAGTGCGTGGTGTGCAGTGAAGTGCACAGCCTGGGCCTACTCCCGTCTACATCACTGAGAATTTTGTCACTGGGAGGAAGGATCTCATGCCGAAGGCTCTGTACTAGCACTCAGCCAGGAACGGAAGCCAGTGCTCCTCTGCCAGCGACTCACTGAGACCTGGCACAAGTCACTTTTTCGCTGTGTCTTTGTCCCCCATCTGGCAAACAGGGATAAGAGCATTTACTTCTTCTATTTATCTGGACTGTCAGCTCTTTGGGGCAGGGCCCATCTGACTCTGTGTTTGTAGTGGCCAGTGCAGTGAATGTCTGTATTGGTGCTGACTGCAAGCTTCCTCTGTGCTGCTCCCAGCCACTGTGGCTCAGCCCTGACCTGTGGAGAGAGGGAAGTTCAGTCTTGAGGGCCTGTTCCATCTCTGGCTTCCCTGCTAAGCCTGCCAATGAGAGGATAAGTTGTGGTGATAGTGGTTTTTGTGAGGGGGATGTTCAGGAGCTGGCCTGAAACTCACCAGCTCTGTCTGATGGTAGTCTCGCTGCTGCAGCACAGGGAAGCACAAGGGGAGCTGAGCCAATGTCTTTCTAACTCACCAGTTTGTTTGATTTTTAATTAAATGATTATTTTTAAAGTCACCTGCCCCAATCACATGGGTTTGTTTTAAATGGAATTTTGAGGGGCAAGTTAAAGTCCTTCCTCACTGTAAGGAGAAGATACAAGAACTCAGCTGCCCGAGACTCGCCTTCTCCTGTCACACTGGGGTTTGCACTGCAGAGAAAAAACCATGATCTTGAGTCAGATTTTGTGCTACTTTCTCAACATTTTTGCAACAAGTGAGAGAACGCGCTTGAGAACCTGCCCACTGCTTGCACGCAGCATGGCTCTGCCCAGGACTTGGAAGAGGATTTACATGCTGTTCCTGCACTTCTCAATCAGGGACAAAACAAAGACATTTGCACCACATCAAAAAATTACAGTTTTTGAAATAACCCCAGGAAATTGACAGGTAAGGATCAAATTAGCCCCTGCAGCTAACAGCAGGCATTACTTTGATCCTGAAGCTTTAAGCTGAATGGTGAATTGCTTTCCTGTTGTGAGACCCATGTGCCTTGGTGAGTGTGTGTATCTAGAAAAGATGGTTACTAACCTTTCTGTAACCGTTGTTCTTCGAGAAGTGTTGCTCATGTCCATTCCAATATAGACTTTTTTTCCCCTAGTGGTATCTGTCAGGTCGACTGGTGCCCCCTGGAGTGGTGCCTTCATGTCATAGTATATAGGTACCTACCAACCTGCTTCCTCCTCAGTTCCTTCTTGCCAGTAAATCTGACAGAAGGGCAGGAGGATGGGCTGTTGAATAGACATGAGCAACACATCTTGAAGAACAGTTACGGAAAGGTTAGTAACTGTCTTTTCTTCTTTGAGTGCTTGCTCATGTCCGTTACAATATAGGTGATTCCCAAGCAATCAGTCAGGTGGTGGGATTGGAGTTTCTGCAAGACATGGACTGGAGGACCGCAGTACTGAAGGCTGCATCGCTTCTTGCCTATTGAGTGATGGTGTAGTGTGTAGTGGATGGAAGACCAGGTCACTGCCTTGTAGATATCTACGACTCGGACATGAGCCAGGAATTCCGCTGATGAGGCCTGTGATCTCATGGAGTGCGTTAAGTGTGGGGAAATGTGACAGAGTGCTAGGTATGAAAGCCTGAGTCAGCACTCTGTTCACAGCAGCTCCTATCGGGCAAAGCAGATTGGAGCTGACTAAGCAGAGCTCTGCCTAATTTGTGGGCGTGGCGGGGCAGGGCAGAAAAGCTTCTTAAGCCATTAGTCAGAGCCCACAAATAGGCACAGGAAGGAAGTAAAAAGGTGGGAAGCAGGCAGTAAAAGAGAGAGACAGAGATTGCTCTCCCCTGCTTGTTAAAGGGGCTATGCATGTTGTGAAGGTGGTGGGCCTCCTTTATAAATAAACAGCACAAGGGTCTCTGAGTAGTTTGTCAACTGAGACAGAAACAGGACAAAGGAGGCCCTGTTACACATGGGGCCTTGTCTGGGATCTGAGCCAGAGCAAGGGTTTGGTGGCCTGGGCAAAGGAGGAGACCCTGCAATGGCTGGTAAAACAACAAGAGGAGATGCAGAAGGCCCAACAAGGTTTTCAACAATCCCACCACATGGAGAGACAGGCTTTGCTTGCCTGGCAGGCAGAGCAGCAGAAAAGCCTGCAGGACTTCATAAGGGAATAAGCCAGCTTCCAGCAGCAGCTCCTACAGAAGGTGGTAATTTCCCCGGTGGGAGATGTTGCCCGAACACAGAACCTTGGACTATGTAAAATGGGCCCTGCAGATGACCCAGACGCATTCCTGGACACTTTTGAGAGGGGAGGGTAGCTGTCAGTGCAGGTTGGGCTAGAGCAACTTGGGCCCTGCGGTTCGCTCCCTATCTGTCAGGAGAAGTCCAAGCGGCCTATATGGCCGAATGAGGAGCAGGCCAAAAAATATGAGACACTGAGGGCAGCCATCCTGGATCGGGAGTGGCTGTCTACTGGGAAGTACTGCCAAAAGTTCAGAACAGCAAGGTTGACGGATGTTTATGGCCCCTAGCATGTGCCCAAAGACTGATGGACTGGGCCACCCGCTGGTTGAGACCAGATACCCAAATGGTGGTGGAAATAATGGACGCTCTGGTATTAGAACAGTTCCTTCAGGGCCTCCTCGAGTACATATGAGTGTGGGTGAGGCAACATCCACTGAGCACCGTGGATGCTGCCATGAAACTGACAGAGGAGTATGCAGAGGCAGACTTTCCCAGGAAAGATGGGCAACCATATAAGGATCCAGAGCTGGGGAGAAAGACTGAAGAACCCACAGCAGGAAGGGGCATGGACAGGAAGAACCCCGGAGTGCCAGCTGGGACTCGACCCATTATTCGCAATGTGGACAATCTGGACAGATGAAAGGGGCCTGCCTGTACATGGATTTTGCCAACTTTTGTGGCTGGGCCAGGGCGGGAGGAAAGAAAAAAGGGCAAAAACTGTTCACCATTTCTGAAGGAAACTCCAGAAGGGCCTTGTGGATATGGCCTCAGCTTGCTTTCTTGTCCAGAGGGAGCTGGTGAAGCCTCACTGGATAATTCCAGGAGCAACTATGGACACAGAGTGTGTCCATGGGGATAAGAGGAATTGCCCCATAGCCCAGGTGCCCCTGTAGGTCCCGGGAAGATTTTGGTGGAAACAAGTTGGGGTAATGGAGGGACTGCCTTATCCGGTTGTCTTGGGCACGGATTAGAGTCCCTTCCCCACTGGGAAGCAAGGTGGTGGGAGGAATCCCACGTTAGCAAAAGGAGAACCGGGGGAGGGAGGGAGAGGAAGAACCCCAAAAAAGAAGCAGGAGCAACCCCTAGACAACAAAGCCTGAATCTGGAGACGAGATATCCCCAGGGAAGTAAGGAAGGAGGTACGGGGGGACAGACAGCCCAAACTCCTTAGTAGAGGTCACGGGGTCAATGGAGCTCCCTGCGACAGAACCCCCAAGAGAAGAAATCCAGGCACAGTTTGGAGACTTGAGGGAACCTGGTGTCCTGGGTGATCCAGGGGATGAGGGGAGTAACCTTGATCCCCTGCCAGATGCGAAGAGAGAGAATGAGAGGAGTAACCTCCCGGGATGCCCCTAGTGTGAAGACCAATGGGCTGCTATAGAGCTATGGGGGGTATTCGCCCCCCACATGGTGAGAGGTCTGTGGGTGGGGGATGAACAAACCCCACAAGGGAAACCCAGATGATTGCCCTGGAGATAGAGAGGGTGGCCCCTCCGGTAAGGGAGGCAGAACACAGGGAAAGAAGAACCTTGTGGTTAGATAAGGGGGGAAGGTGTGTGACAGAGTGCTAGGTATGAAAGCCTGAGTCAGCACTCTGTTCACAGCAGGTCCAATCAGGCATAGCAGATTGGAGCTGACTAAATAGAGCAGTGCCTAATTCGTGGGTGGGGCAGGGCAGAAAGGCTAATTAAGCCATTAGCCAGAGCCCACAAATAAGCACAGGAAGGAAGTAAAAAGGGGGGAAGCAGGCAGTAAGAGGGAGAGAGAGAGTGCTCTCCCCTGCTTGTTAAAGGTGCTATGTATGTGGTGAAGGTGGTGGGCCTCCTTTATAAATAAACTGCACAAGGTGTTGGACCAGCATGAGAGTCTCTACTTAGTTTGTCGACTGAGACAGAAGCAGGACCAAGGAGGCTCTGTTACAGGGAGCCACCTTCATCAGGTCATAGCACTTGCAGATGCAGGATGTTATATGGAGATATACCTATCTCATAGAACTGGAAGGGACCTTGAAAGGTCATCAAGTCCAGTCCCCTGCCTTCACTAGCAGGACCAAGTACTGACCCTGACAGTTCCCCCCCGCCCCGATCCCTTAATGGCTCCCTCAAGGATTGAACTCACAACCCTGGGTTTAGCAGGCCAATGCTCAAACCACTGAGCTATCCCTCCCGAGACTAGGTTCCCCTTCATCCTTTCTGTGACAGCAATGAAAAGTTGGGTGGACTTCCAAAAGGGTTTGGTCCTTTCTATGTAAAAAGCCAGGGCACATCTAACATCCAGAGTGCAGCTTCTGCTCCTGTCTATTTTTATGGGGCTTGGGATAGAAGACTGGGAGAAAGATATCCTGACTACTGTGGGAATGGGAGACCACCTCGGAAGGAAGGATGGGTATGGGCGAAGCCTAATTTTGTCCTTGAAGAAGACCATGTACGGAGGTTAGGCGGTGAGTGCCCGGATCTCTGAAACCCTCTTGGCTGAGGTGATGGACACCAGGAAGGCAGTCTTCCAGGATAAGTAAATCAAGGGACACGTTGCCAATGGCTCAAATGGGGGCCTGTCAACCAAGATAGCACCAGGTTGAGATCCCAGGGGGCCAGAAGCTGGTGCACCTGTGGATACAGGCGATCTAAACCCTTAAGGAACTGAGCATAAATCGGGTTGAAGAAAACCGATCTGCCATTCACCGATGGGTGGAACGCCGAGATTGTAGCTAAGTGGATTTTGATGGAAGATACTGCAAGACCTTCTTTCTTCAGGTAAAGCAGGTAATCCAGGATAAAGGTCAGCGTGGTCTCCATGGGGGAGACCCCTTTCTGAAGTGACCACAGTGAGAACCTTTTCCACTTTGCTAGGTAGGCCATTCTGGTTGACTGCTTTCTACTACCTATAAGGATGACTTGTACTGGCGCCGAGCAGTACTGTTCCATCTCACTCAGCCACGAAGGTTCCAAGCCCTCAGGTGCAGGGACTCTAGATTCGGGTGGAGCATGTGGCCGTGCTCCTGGGAGATCAGATCTGGCCACATTGGAAGGCTGACTGGTGTGTCTATTGAGAGGTCCAGCAATGTGTTGAACCAATGTTGCCTCCATGCTGGCACTATGAGAATCATGTGAGCCTTGTCCTTTCTGATCTTGAGCAGAACTTTGTGGATGAGGGCTGTGGGAGGAAGCCCCATGTCCGAGGCATCTGTGAGTAGCTCCATCGAAGGTGTGGGCCTTGTGAAGGGAACGTCGGTACACACTGTGTCTCGCTTCAGCCACTACTGAAGGGCTTTGAGTGTCGCTGGTGGAAGTGAGACCACTCTGTCTAGTGGGTGACAACCTGATATGTACACTGATACCAGCCACAGTTGGAGAGGGCGCAGTCTGAAATGTGTATGCTGCACAGTGCAAGAGGCCATGTGCCCCAGGAGCTTCCACCAACTCCTTGCCATGGTGGTGGGGCATGCTTTCAGGCTTTGTATAAGAGCTACAATGGCCCTGAAATGGTTCTCCGGCAAGAAGGCCCTCACCTGATTTGCATCAAGAATTGCTCCTATATATTCTATCCTCTTGACGGGCATGAAGTTAGACTTGTGTTCGTTGACCAGGAATCCCAGGTTCCTGAAAGTGAACAGTACGAGGCCCACGCATTGTTCCACAAGTACTCTGGACCAGCCCCTTACCAGCCAGTCGTCTAAGTATGGGTAGACCTGCACCCCTCGTCTCCCAAGGGAAGTCAGACATTTCGTAAATACTCTTGGAGTTGCCGACAGGCCGAAAGGCAGCACTGTGAACTGATAGTGGTTCTGATTTACCACGAATCAAAGATATTTTCTGTGGTCTCGGAAGATAGCAATATGAAAGTATGTGTCTTTCAAGTCGAGGGTGGCATACCAGTCCCCTGGATTTAGGGAAGGAATAATCAAGGCCAGAGAGACCATGTGGAACTTTAGCTTCTTCAAGAACTTTTTTAGGTTCCTGAGGTCTAGGACAGGCCTGAGAACCCCATTGGATTTTGGGATCAGGAAGTAGTGGGAGTAAAACCCCTTGCCTCTTAGCTCCATGGGAACCTCCCCCACTGCCCCCGCCCTTAAGAGTGACTGCATATCCTCAGCCAAAAGATTTTCGTGAGAAGGGTCCTTGAAGAGGGATGGGGAGGAGAGGTGGGAAGGAGGGGAAGAAATAAACTGCATGGTATATCCCACTTCTGCCGTGCAGAGCACCCATCAGTTGGATGTGATGTTGGCCCGTGCCCAGTAAAAATGGGACAAATGGTCCACAAACATAGGGGTAAGATTCAGGTTCTGAACTGGTGCACCGTCCTCGGGTGCATCCTCAAAAGTTTTGTTTATTGCCCGACAGTTGTTTTGTGGGCGCAGATGTCGAGGCTGATGAGGAGTGAAGGGCCTCTCTTTTCCAGAGCCCCTTACTCCTCTTTCATCCGAAGTCTTGCCTCTGCTGGTGATGTGGCAGGTAAAAATGGCCCATGGGCTGAGGCTTACGATGCTTCTGGGATGGGGCAGAGTGTGGAGGCCCAATGACTTCAGGGTCACCCTCGACTCTTTTAGGCTATGAAGCTGGGTGTCCATTTGTTCTGAGAAGAGGGACTGTCCCTTGAACGGGAGATCATAAGAACATAAAAACAGCCATACTGAGTCAGACTAAAGGTCCATCTAGCCCAGTATCCTGTCTTCTGACAGTGGCCAATGCCAGGTGCCCCAGAGGGAATGAACAGAACAGGTAATCACCAAGTGATCCATCCCCTGTCGTCCATTCCCAGCTTCTGGCAAACAGAGGCTAGGGACACCATCCCTACCCTCATAAGGTAGACCAGACGACTGAAGCCAGGAGCTTCGCCTCAGCACTCCCTGTGACCATTGCTCGGGTTGCTACGTCCGCGGCATCCAAGGCTGCCTGGAGGGATGCCTTGGCTATGGCCTTGCCTTCTTCTGCCAGGGCCACAAACTCTGACCTAGAATCCGATGGCAGGAGCTCTTGGAATTCCTGCATGGCTGACCAGGAATTAAACTCATACTGATTAAATAGGGCCTGGTGATTTGCAATCCTTAACCGACGACCTTCCACGGAGTAAACTTTTCTCCCTAAGAGGTCCAGTTTCCTGGCCTCTTTTGCTTTGGGCAATAGTCCCTGCTGTCCTTGCCTTTCCCGCTCGTTGGCCGCAACAACAACCAGGGAGCCCACCGAGGAGTGGGTGTGCAAATATTCACAGCCATTATGGGGGACGAAATACTTCCTCTTCACCCATTTAGCCATGGGCTGGAGAGAGGCCAGGGTCTGCCACAATGCCCTTATAGGCTGTAGAATGGCTTCATTCAGGGGCAAGGCTACTCTCGCCGGACCCGAGGGAGTCAGAATGTCTACCAAGGCCGGGGTTGATTCCGCAATCTCCTCCACTTGGAGGTTGAGATTCTGAGCCATCTGACGCAGGAGCTCCTGTGGGCTTTGTAGTCATCCTGCATTGGGGCTATGGCTATATCTGCCATTTCCTCGTCAGGGAAGGATGACGTAGAGGCCTGGACTGCCACCGGGCCTTGTATGTCATCCGGTGCTGACGGGTCTCCCGCAGGTGTGATCTGAGAGTCCTGAACTTCTGCCCCGGGAATAGAACCCCTTTCCGACAAGGATGGAGAGAGCACCCTCATCTCAGAGGGTGCCGAGAGTGAGTGTCCCCTGTGGGAGCCCTGAACCATGTGCAGCCAAGGGGTCAACATCGGCCACTGAGGTGGCATCTGCCATTTGTCCAGGGCCCCATGCTGGCGGAGCAAGTCCCTGGGCCATGTCAGCTGGGCATCTATGGTCCGCCCAGAGTCTGCTCCCTCGTCAGGCGTACGACTCTGCCTGCAATTCGGAGCTCAAGGACCCATTCCCTAGGCGACCAGGGAGGTGCCTTGCTCCTTGGCGCCGAATAACTGTACCATGATGGAGAGTGGCATCATGGTAGAGAATGGTGCTGCAACAGAAAGTGGTGCTGTGATTTGGAGCGGCACCGAGACTGTGACTGGTGTTGGGGCAAGGTGCAGTGTCACTGTGGCGAGCGTGTCTGTGGTGTCGAGTCTCTTGATGATGAGTGGGAGAGAGGGCGGTGCCTCACCATCATTGCAGACTTGCCCAGGACTGGTGCTTGCTCTCTTGGAACTGGGCCTTGCGGTGCCTGCATTGTCCCTTGCGGACCTCAGCTTGGGGGGGATGGCAGTGCTGGGAGAGTTAGACGGTTCCACGCTGCCTCATATGCCTCTGGCGTCGATGGTGCTGCCAGGGTCGTGTCTCCTTCTTGGCTCATCCTTTGTGAGGAGTCCATTGGTACTCGACTCCACGGGTTCCTCCCCTGGGGCCGGAGTCAACAGAGCTGGTTGGATTGCAACTGATTGAGAGTGGCCCCCCACAGATCTCACTCTATGGTCTTTCTCACAGGGGAACGCCACTATTCCAACTTTTCTGTCCTCTTCTTTGGCACTGGTGACGGAGAACAGTGTCGTGCTGTTGGCGCCAACCTCTTGGGTGCCAAAGAAGCGTGCTGGGAGGAGGTCAGCACCAGGGAGCCTGGTCCATGCTGGGTTTCCCTAATGGATGCCAGGACACTCCTGGTCAAGGAAGTGCTTGGTGCTAGGTCAGGCTGCAGCTCCGAAGCGGGGCAAAATGCCCCCTCCAAGAGGAGGAATTTCAATGGATTGTTTCTCTTTTTTGTTCTTGGTTTGAAATTCCTACAAATCCAGCACTTTCCTTGGATGTGCCCCTCCCAGGTATTTCAAACAGCTGTCATGGGGGTCACTTATTGGCATAAAGCAACAAAGAGTCCTGTGGCACCTTATAGACTAACAGATGGATTGGAGCATAAGCTTTCGTGGGTGAATACCCACTTCGTCAGGGGGGAAAAAAGTCTTCCAGCGACAGTGCACGCGACGCACACACACCTATACTAGAATGGACATGAGGAAGCACTCAAAGAACAGTCTATATCTACTCTGCTAAGTCAGTTAATTATTGTCAGTAGGTTGGTATCCCCCCGGCACACTTGTGGCTCTGAGAGTGGTACAGATCCATGTGTGTATTACAGACTTTGGTTACCATCCTACCTACTTCTCAGGATTTAAAATCCAGGTGGGTCTGGGTCTCTGCTAACTATTTCTATGCAGACCAAGAACCAAGCACAGCAAATGTCTTTGCTTACCCTCCGTCCTGTACCCTTATGGACCACAGGTACCCGTTCCTCTCCTGTGAGTGAGTTTATGTCCAGTTTGCTGGGGTCCTTGCATCGCTGCCTCCTCTGCTTGGGCTTGTCTGAAAAACTCTAGAAGGCAAATAAGAGAGCATTAATGAGAATGGGTGGCTAGAAACTTGGAGGGAAAATGGCCAAGCCAAGCTGATGGTGTGAGGGAGGGGCATCTGTGCAGGCCCCATTGCACAGCTCTGCTTTTTGGATGAGGGCAAATCTATTTTGATAGGTCTGAAGATACTTTTGCTGTGCCTCAGCCTAGACTAACTACTCCATCTCTGACTGATGTCTCTGCACACCTAGAATTGCTGCCTGTTACTAAATTCACAGCAGAGAGACTATGCTGGATCTCCTTAAAAAGTCCCAGCCATAATTCAGAAAGGAAGAGCACAGCAGTATGTGCCACAGTGTGGCAGCATCTCACATGCCTGGCCATCTGGCTGTGACCAGCTGGTGTCTCTTGTCTTACTTATCCTTAGATTGGAAGCTCTTTGGGCCACGGAACTTCTTTTGGTTCTGTGCTTGGTCCAAAACTAGGACACCTCACCACTATGGTAATACAAGTAATTAATAGTCATGCTTGTCCTACCAGACGTACTCCAGATATAAACCCTAACCCTGATCTCCTACTCTCAGAGTGCAAGTCTAGGGGAGCGAGTGTGGACCCATGGTTAGTGCATAGGACTGGGAGTCAAGATTCCAGGATTCTAGTCGGACTCTGCCCCAACTTCCTGAGTGACCATCGTAAAGTCCCTTAATCTCTTTGTGCTTCTGTTTCCACATTTAGCAGGTGGATAAGACTTGTAAGTTTTGCAGTTTCCCCATTTCCTGAGTCAGTTTGATTGTGACCAATCTCTTCTCTGCATTATGGCTTTTGGGCTAACAGGGCACCAGTCTCAGACCCCTAATCATAGAGGAGTGGATCAGGGACATTAATACAGGCATCAGTGTCCATGGACCCTTGTTTATTATCTGCCCATCAGCCGATTCCACCTCAGACACTCAGAGAGGGAAATGCCCTACTTGGTCCCTTTTAGGGAGCTCCCCGCAGAGCCAGGACCGCTCTTCACAGACTAGTCACCAGCCTTGTTTTAAATGTCCCATGAGAGGCGCCTCCACCCCTTCCCTTGCAAGTTGATTCCAGAATTTGCTGTCCGGAAGGTTTTCCTGTTATTCAGCCTACATTTTCCTTTGCTTAATTTCATCCTATTCTCTTGCTTGCTGATATTCCAGCTTTACCCGCTGCAAACCCACCGAGCCATGTGAACTCTAGATCACTGCTCTTCAGGAGTGCAAGCTGCACAGCTGCAGTAAGCCAATGCACATGTATGGAAGGAAAAGGAAAAACATGCAGCTGCCTAAATCAGAGTCAAACCAGGGTTTTTCTACAAAGAAAAGGCTCTAGGCCCAGTCCTGGCCTTCAGTGAAGCCAGTCTGTACTGTCAAAGGAGCACAAAGCACATTAAAGCTGCCCTTACCAGACAGGTGAGGATTGCCCCCACATGGGGAATCCCACAGAGCCAGCGTTACACCAGCACAGGCACAGGGATGACTGGGATGCACAATGCTCCAGTAGTACTCACTGGCAAAACAGCCCCTTAGGGTGCAGTTTAGAACTTCTGGCTGCCTCCAAGACAGGACCGGGAGAGTGGCAAGGTAGCAGAAGGCCCCCCACACTCACGTGTGTTGAGTGCCACTGCTTCAGGACTCCTGAGAATCTCGCCTGGTGAGGTTTCTTTGGGCTATGACTAGAGCCCCACTGCTCTGCCTGCAAATTCTGGGTTTCTCAGGTCTAAGCAGCTGGTCATGCTAATGTACCCATCCGCCTCAGGAGCCACTCACTGCCTGTGTTCTGAGTTCTAAGGGAATCTTTACACACCTCAGGCTGCAGTTCCAGGTGCACAATCCCTCGGCACTAAGACACGGCTTTTTTATAGACATCATCAGTATCTCTCTTGATTCCCTTTCCATAATGTTTCATGGTCTGCGTTCAGATTAGTGAACTACTTTATAGGCTAAATGAGCCAAAATACGAATAACCAGCCTGTTGGAAGAAGAGTTGGGTGTTTATGAGCTTCTGAGAACAGGTCTGGCGTGTTCTGAACACATGCTCCTCTCCTGTCTGTCCTCCCATAGATCCTGGATAACAGAAATAGACACACAAGTGGGGATGGGTGATCAGAGGAGCTTTCCTCAGACACTCAGAGCACGACGGTTTCAAATTTCATCTTCTTTTCACTTTGAAAGGCAAGAAATTATGTTCTCTCCCCTCTTGGTTTTTGCTTGTGGTTTTGTGGCTAGCCCAATTCATAGATTCCAAGGCCAGAAGGGACCATCATGATCATCTAATTTGACTTCCACAACACAAGCCAGAGACCTGCCAGTAATTCCTGGAGCAGGTCTGTTAGAAAAACAGCCCATCTTGATTTAAAAGCTGTCACTGATGGAGAATCCACCACAACACTTGGCAAATTGTTCTCACTGTTAAAAATGTACACCTTATTTCCAGGCTGAATGTGTCTAGCTTCAACTTCCAGCCATTGGCTCAGGTTTAGACTTTTTTCTGCTAGACAGAAGAGCCCAATATTAAATATTTGTTCCCATGTAGGTACTTGCAGTCTGTGATCAACTCACCCCTTAACCTTCTCAATTGAGCTCTCGAAGTCTATCGCTATAAGGCTGGTTTTCTCCTCCTTTAATCATTCTGGTGGCTCTTCTCTGAACCCTCTTCAATTTATCAATATCCTTAAATTGTGGGCACCAGAACTGGACACAGTATTCCAGCAGGGGTCACACCAGTGCCAAATATGAAGATAAAATAACCTCTTTTCTCTCCATATAATTATCTATATGAGCTCATGTGCTAGTGCAGGGAACAGAGAGAAGCTATCAGAGCTGAACACCAGGCCTGGCTACTGAACGATGGGTAAGGATCAGATACTGTGACAAGCTCAAGCTGTGCTCAGCCTAGGATCTGAAAGATTAAGTCTGTGGAGGTTCGTGCTGGTCAGGTCCAGGAGCGACTGTGCCTGGTGTTGGTGCTGTCTGCTAATCTAGGCACTGTTCCCTGGGAAAGTGATACACCCAAACCTCGGGCACTGTGATTTTGCCCTCATGGGCTGTCTGGCTTGAGACTTGCAAATTCCTCCTACTTCAATGTCCTTGAGGTTCATTAGCAGCTCACAGGGCTGAGTAGGGCCATGCCTGCTGCCTTCTGATCTGTTACAGGAAGTCTCCTTTGACTTAGCTGTGCTTTGTCATCCACAGTGACCCAGATGAGATGGGAGCTGCAGGCACAATTTCGGGGGGAACCTAGATTCACAGCTCTGCCCATTCCCCACCCATTTTTTGAGGTGCTGACCTAGTCCCTCAACATCACTGAGCAGCAAATCCTTGTGGCAGGAGCCAGCAAACAGACCGCAGGTGTCAATGCCATCTACCAGGAATGTGCAGCTATTCAAGTGTCTTTGCCCTGGGTGAGCAAAGAAGTACATTAGCCCCGTAGCTCTGGAGACCAGCCCCACCCCTTGCATCTGGATCTAAGGCAGACAGGAAGGAGGCAGCATCTAGACCTGATGTACTGAAGCCTGAGACCCCCAGAGGGTCACTCTTACTGTGCTGAAGCCGGGGACATCGAGTGTGTAGTCCGACTGCTGTCTTAACCAGTCCAGGAGACTCTTGTTCGGAACAGCCTTCTCTGTCCGGATGCTTGTGGCTGTGACCGTATGCGGAGTTGAGGTAGCGGTGACTGGCCCGTCCGGGTGCGGGCTGCTCTGTGCAGGCTGGGTCTGATCTTCCTGAACATCCTGAAGTGAAGGGAGAAGGGAGAGCCCATGTGGGGAACACCATCATACTGCTAGTTCTCTCACCCCGATGTCACCCAGGCATACACAGAGCACCCAGGCAGAACCTGCCCCTGCAGACACCCAGACAGGGCTTGGCAAGCCGGAGCCCAGGAGTTCCTGGTGTCCTTCACTTGGATCACCAAGAGCCACCAGGAGAAACATTCAGCCTCACAGGCACCCTGTTTGCACTAGGGATGAGAGAGCTGGGAGATGTGGGACCAGTCTGTGTTTTCTGGGCGTCACCTGGAAAATGCCCTAATTGCCACAAGGCACAATGTGCTACCAGCAAACGCAGCCCAGATCCTGGTTCTTGTGGAGAGGCTTCGCCCCACATCTCTCTGGGGAGAAGAGCCTCCCACCAGCTGCATCTAGAGGGGGCATGGCACTACCTCAGGCAACAGGCTCTCTGCACCCCTGGTTTGCTGACAGTACCCAGACTGTGGGAAATCCACCCTGAGCAGGGTTTGCAATGGTACAAGTAACCCACAAATTCTGCTCTGCCAGGTGGCCTGGAGCTGGCTCCACCCAGAGCGGGTGTGATTCATTCCTCACCTAGCCAGCCTCCTCTGGAGTCCCAGAAGGAACCTAAAGCTTCCTTGTTCCAAGAGCCTGCTGCCCTTTCCAGGGCGAATCTCCTGGGGCATGAGGAGGGGGCAGGGCCCCGCCTTGTGCTGGGGTGGGGGAATTCAGCCCAATACCTTCCCTGGGCTCTCCATCCCTGTGAAGCCCTGTTGTGGTAACTGGGCCTACGAATTTACCCTCATTGGGAGTCCAGCTGTGAAGTGAATGAGAGTTCATGCATTGTCACAATAAACAATAATAGCAAATGGTGAGTGGAAAAAAGAGACAGGCTGACTTAGTCCAACCCAAAGGTCTCCTGATAGATCTCAAGGATTGCGTGAAGATCATGCGGTAACCGAGAGCAGCGTGAGCCTGGAAATCAATGAACCAAAATTGGTGTGTTGGAAATTAGGCCTGTTGGTGGACAAAATATTGAGAGGATGGGACCAGGATGGGCTATTGTGCCCATCGCCCCCTTCGGAGGGACTGAGAGAGACAAACTGGCTGTGAGGAAGTGAAGGAGAACAATTGCTGACGGACAGAGGCGAACCCTGGCTGACTGACGGTGGCGGGAGCTGGCTACCGCAGCACTGAGAGAAGGGGAAGGAGGGTGCTTCACCATCATGGCTGCCACCCCTATCATCTCCTTCTTCACCCGGATCCTGAGAGATGTCCTGTCCAGACCAGGTCAGTCATCACCACCTCCACTGGCTCCAGCTAAGTGCTGAATATGCCGCTGCCCTGGGCTCCCTCCCATGCCCCCAATATACTCTGTTTCTTCCCACCATATTTCTTGTTTTTCCTCTCTCTTTCTGCCTTCTGTTTAATAGGAGTCTGGATTAGCCAGCCAAGATAGTATATTTTGCAACACTGCTGTGAGACTGTGACCCAAGAGGCAGCTAAATGCAAGGCCCTCAGCAGCCCGATGTGGGTATGAGTTTGCCAGCTCTCAGACCATGTGTGGGGCCAGCAGTGAGACTGCAAGGAGGAATTAACCTGAAGTTGCATCTTCTACCTTTGCTGGTCTTTTCTCTCCCCCTTTTGTCTTGTCTGGTCTCTAGGAAATGGGATTAGACTTTAGCAGCAGCACTGACGACAGCTCCCCCCATCTCCACTCACTTCTCTTTCCCCCACAGGAGTTCTTACCATCTTTCGTGCCATGTAAGAGACTGTTGACCAAGGGGTTTGTCTTCTAAAGGCTCTCCAGCTCAAGGGAAAGGGAGCTGTTACAGTGAAAGTCTGAAATGACACTCTGCATTTCAAATGCTTCAACTGGTTTCCCTTCTTTTCTGTACCTTCACTAGAAGGTTAAAAGGATGTTTAATGGCATGTTTGCCATGGGACTATGTAGGCTGAGGTCTCTGTATACCAAACCCTGAACCTTGTTTACCGCTTTCTCCTCTTGGACAGTGACTGAGTCATGTTAACACCTTTGATTTTCTGAGCCCCTTCATTCCATCTACATAAATACAGTAGCCCCCACGTGGGAGGTCAGGTTTTAATGCTTAGCAGTTCTCAAGCACTCAGGGAAGAGTGCCCTGATCGGGGGCTGGGGGAAGCTCTGCAAGCCCCCACCTCTCTCCTCACCAAGAGACAGGGCCTGCCTCTCTGGGGTTGAGTCTGCTTCTCCTGCTCCAGGTTTGCCTCAGGCAGTCAATGAGGGGGCAGTTGTCCAGCCCTGCCCTGCCCTGTCCTGGGATGGACAGCAGAGCTCAGCAGTCATTGAGTGAACAGCTGGATCCACGTGAGCATTCAGGTGCTGAATCCTGCCTGCTTTGGGAGGGGGAATCATTTACCCACCTGCAGCCCGGTTTGAAGGCTCCTCTCCTTCAAGAAGATAAGGTCCATCCCTTCCACATTTTTTCTCCTGCCCCGTCGTCTCCTCAAGGCAGCATCATCTCTCCGGAGGCTTCCATTGACAATCTGCCCTGTGACCGGATGGATTAGCCCTGCTTGGAGGATGCCAGACAAGTCCATGCCCAGGGACCCCTGCAGGGAGTGCACCGTCCCTAACTTGGGCAGGTTGCTGTTCAGGGGGAAAGGAGAAGGGTTTCCTGGCGATCCATCGGATACTCTGGCCAGGTTCCCTGAAGAGTCCCGCCAGCCGTTCAGCACTACAGGTGGACGGGAGTGCGATGCAGCTAACTGTTCGAGACGTCTAGGTTTGGCGTCTCTCTCCAGCTCAAACTCATAGGGCTGCCTGTGCTTTTGTTCATCCTTCGTAAAGACGGGAGCCAGGAAGCTTTCCTGTGTGCAGCAAAGACAGAGAAATGGTCACAGCTATGGCCTACATCGCACAGGCCTTACAACACTCAGAAGCAACTTTTAAATCCAGCGCACACTAGAATCATAGAACTATAGGGTGAGAAGGGACTGCAAGGGCTAAAACACTGACACGAGAGAGGTTTCATGGGGCTAGGACTGGGGGAGGGGAGTGTATGGAGACGGGTGGCTATCGAGACTGGACAGAGCTCCTTAATCTCTCTGCTGGAGCCCTCCACGACCTTTTTCCCCCGGCCCAGCAGACAGCCACCACTTCCCAGCTAAAGGGATGGATGGAGTGGGACTTCCTGCAGAGCCCCATACTGCAGCAGGTGTGCTGCAGCTCAGTGAGCTGTAGGAGGGGCTCCTCCCAGCAGCAAGCATGCCCCTGGTTCCCACACCCTGCCAGCAGCTGTTGGCCTCAGAACCAGAGCCCAGCCACCTCTCATTCAGCAGGGACGGCGCGTAAGCGGGGGTCTCTGTAGTGGGGAGACAGAGCACTCTACTCAGAGCGCTGGCCCCAGGGCGGTGCCTCTGTTACACCCCTGCGGGGGCATAGGGAGAGCACTGTGTTCTCGGCTAAACTGAGTGCGGGAGGAGGGATTTTGGAAGCACCTCTCCCTCCGAAGGAAGACGAGCAGAGTCGCTCACAGAAATGCATCGAGTCGTTCGTCTGGGACCTCCAGCTGCCGTTCTCATGTCAGTAAATAAAGGGGCACCCCTAGGCTGAGATTATACATGTTGCCACAGGGGTTGCTGTGACTCGTCCCCCACAGTGACCTAACTCTATCCACCCACCTGACACCTGGGTGAATGCCAGCACCGGGTTGGGGGGAAGGGTCTCCAAGCTGCCCCTGGGACTATACAATACACTTCAAATTGCAGAACAGCGAGAGCCAGAGAGGAGGGAAAGCTGCAGAGTTTCCCGGGCTGGGAAGCCCTGAACACCAGGGAGATGGAGTTCCTAAGGGGCCACGTGCCCTGACCCCTCACCTTTTGTACCTGTGCAACTAACACTCCGTTGTTGAAGCTGGGGTCCGGGGCTTCTGGCTCGGCAAAGCTGTTCCTAGTGCCTGCGTTGCTGGCTAACACTGATGTGGGCATCAGGGTTTGTGTTTCAAACTGCTGGCTAGAAGAGGGCCACTTGCCCTTTAAGATGGCGTGACAGATATTATCTATGCGGTTAATGATCACTCGGTCCTGCAAGCAGAAGCAGACAGCTCAGTGGCATGGCAAACCCAGGGCCATGGCATGCAAAGGATAGTGTGGACGCACAGGCCCTTGAGCCCCAAGGGAAATGCAGAGAGCCCGTGGGAGTGAAAATGGAACCCCCTCTCTTTTCACAAATGTTGCAGGGACCGATGCTTTCTGAAGACCCTGTGAACTTGTGTCTGGGTGCACACCCATGCACATGGACATGTGTGCCATGGGACACTGAGTATGGAAGGGGAAATTCAGCCCAGGCAGAGGGCCTGCGCTAAGTCTGTGCTTCGCTTCCATCCCACTGGGCCCCCCGCTCGGCCTCCCCATGGTACCCCCAAATCCTGCTCGCAGCAGTGGGATTTCTGTGCATTCGGTCCCTTGCTTGCTCACTAACATGGACCAGGGCCATAGAGGTGGGTGGCTGGGAGTTTTGCCCAGGAATAAGCTTAGTGAAGGGTGGCAAGGCAGAGAAGCTGGGCCAGGGCGGCTGCAATTTGTGAATGATTCAGACAGGTGCAGAACTGAAACCACCTTAGGCCACTCCGAGAAGGAATAGAGCGTCTTCTCCTGCAGCAGCTGGGCGATGGTGGGCGCACGGGCATCCTGCAGCTCGTCCATCTCTCCAGGCTGGGCACAGGGAGAGCTCTTGCTCTCCTCTTCCGAATACTTCTCTGGACAATCTAGGTAAAGTGACAAACAGAAGGGGCCATCGTAACCCTGGAGTCCCCCACCGCATAGTTGGCGCCGCCAGAGCCCCACTCACTAGCCATCATTTGGGACTATTTTTCTTTTCAAAAAGTGAACCCGTTGGCTGTGAGTGGGCTGAGCGGCTGGTCAGTAGCAGCTGGGGGAGCCCTGGGTCCATGAGGGCTTTGGGCAGCCAAGGCCTGGGGCCAGTGAGGCCAGTGGGAATTCTGTTACTGACCTCAAGGGAGCAGGGCTTGGCCCAAAACCACTGAACAATGAACCAGCCGAACGCCAAGGCCAGCCATGTTGGCAGGAACAGACACAGCCCTGCCTGCCAGTCTGTGCCACCCAGTCCTGGGTGGGCGGGGCGAGCCCCGTGCCACAGGGCAGTGCCCAGTCCTGGGTGGGGGCAGGGAGGGAAGGGCAAGTCCCCCGTCACAGGGCAGTGCCCAGTGCTGGCGGGGGCAGGGAGGGCACAGAATGACACACACACACACATACACCGAAGGCCTCCTGGAAGCCCCAGTGCAGTCTGTGTTTGCTCCTCTCATCCCAGCAAGAATATTATTGCTCAGAAAGCCACATGCCCCCACCCACAAGGCAGGTGCAGCTGCCACTTGATGCTGCAGGCTGGCACACACACAGGCTCGCTGCACAGGGTGCATGGGCATGCCTGCCAGACGGACACTGCCGTACCTCGGCTCTGGCCAGTGCCCTCTTTCTCTTCCTCGTCTTTGTTCTCACATTCATCGTCTTCCTGCTTCAGCTTGTGCCCTTCCAGGTGCCAGGCCACACCGCCCGCCATCTGCGCAGCAGAGCCAGCTTCCCAGCGCTCCCCTCCCATGCTGGCGGGCCCAGCGTTCGGGAGCTTCGGCTGAGCAGCTGCAGCTGGGCTGGGTGCTGGGGGGAGGCTCTTGGGCCAGTCTGGCAAGTGCTCTGCAGCGCTCTTGTGGTCGGCCTCCCCATCCCCTGTCCCACTGTTACACTGCGATGCCACCTGTCCTGAAAGCTCTGCCTCACCATTCACTTCTGGGCAAGTGTTCTTGGGAGCAGGAAGGCTAGAACCAGGTTCCTCCCCCACTAGCACATTAGCTTTGGGGTCCTCATCAGTCCTGGCCTCCGGGGTGCCCCTCAATCCTTCTATAGCATCTGCTGCCATCTCAGAATTCTCCTCCTCCTCCTCTTCCTCGCTGTGGCTCTGACTTGGCACTGATTTATCCTCCAAGCCTTTCTCGTGTAACAGGCCCATGAACCTCTGCTCCGGTGGGATCTTTATCTCCAAGTTATGGAGACTGGGCCCATACAGGCCTAGGCTGATCACCCCCTCCGCACTGGTGAGCTCAGGTGACCCAGGCCCTGGGCTGGCCCGCTGCAAGGCATCACTGATCTCGGTGGGGACACTCCTGGAGGGCTGGCTGGCTGGGGCTGAGGGCCAAAGCTCCCTGCCTTCATTGGGACTATCCATTTGGTCACAGCCCATCTGCAAGCTCTCCAGGAAGGAGGTCTCTCTGATGGCCTCAGCCTCACAGCTGGATGGGTCCTCATCCCCATCTAGTTTGCCCTCAGCAAATTTAGCAGCACTGTTGCTGACATGTGTGCAGCTGGGGCTGTCACGGGCGAGAGAGCTGTGCTCACTGGGACACGCCTTCTCCTCATACATCATGCACATCAGAGAGTCCGGCAAGGAGCTCTCATCACAGTTCATGGAAATGATGTCCCGCACTGTCGACAGGAATGTGTCGCAGCTCGTGTCCTGAGGACTGCCCTCCGCCCGGGAGAGCACATCCTCCAGGTTTTCAAGCTTGATCTGGCACTCAGCTTCATTCTCCAGGGACTCACAGGTCCTTTCCATCTGGCAGTACGAAGGGGAACTGTAGAGTTTGGAGTTCATCTGATGGAGACAGCACAGGTTCTCTGGGCCTGGGGCACCTGCTCTTTTGTGCTGAGCATAGTTTCTATACGCGTCCAAAAATGACAGCTCAGGATCGTTCATGATGTAGTAGTCAGTGCGGTTCAGTCCGTGCTTGGCTGTGCCAAGCAGCAGGTCTCGGTCATGCTTGCCACACTCCCACCAGACAGGAAGGTACAGGCTGGGCCTGCACAGCGTGAGCCGCTCATGGAGCTGCGGGTACTTGAGCACTTGCTCCCGGACCTTCCTTAGAAGTTCAATCCGGTACAGCGTTCTTGCAGCACGTTCTTCAGTGATTGGCTCAACATAGATGCTGGGATCAGGTGGACCTACAATGGGAAGAGAGAGGCAGAGACCCCATTACTAATTAGACAGAGCTCAGAAGGGTATATGGCCAAACCTTGCTACTACGCTGTACATTGGGGGTTACTGTTTGGCTGAGGTTCACAGGTGTGAGAAGAACTGTCGGGGTGACAGCAACAGCAGCTTTGGAAATTTATCACCGCCATCTAGTGGTTACCAGTCAGTGTTGTCTCTGCTGCAAATTGCACCATGGAGAAGCAACAAGTTAGAAATTGGTGGGGCTGCTTGTCTAGTTTGTGTCTCCATAGTTCAAGAGTCATTTGGAGAGGAGCTGGGAACAATGTGAAGTTCCTGATTCTTGGGTATTGACCCTGGAATCACATGTAACTAAACTGGCCAGGGTTTGGTTTCTAAGTTTTCTCTCTAACCAGCCAGAATGAAGAAGAGTTTCTCACCTTCACCAACTGTCCCAAGGGTAGCAATTCACCAGTGGGTATTTCAGAGCCCTCCCATCAACTCCAGTCTGTGCTGCCTTGATTTGGCAAGCAGGACCAGAGCAGGCTCTTGTGGTACCTTGGGAGGTCAATGGTAACTGATGCACCATGGGAGTTTCTCAAACATGTATGGTTTCTTCTGAGCAGGGATCCCACCATGCACAGAATCATAGAAATGTAGGACTGGAGGGACCTCAAGAGTCCAGTCCCTTAAACCATCACTGACAGGGGTTTGTCTAGCCTGTTCTTAAAAACCTCCAGCGACGGAGATTCCACAACCTCCCTGGGCAATTTGTTCCAGTGCTTAACTACCCTGACAGTTAGGAAGTTTTTCTAACCTAAATCTCCCTTGCTGCAATTTAAGCCCATTGCCTCTTGTCCTGTCCTCAGTGGATAAGGAGAAAAATGTATCACCTTCCTCTTTATAACAACCTTTTACATACTTGGAGACTGTTCTCTCGTCTCTTCTCCAGACAGAACAAACCCAACTTTTTCAATCTTTCCTCAGAGGTCATGTTTTCTAGACCTTTAATCATTTCTGTTGCTCTTCTCTGGACCTTCTCCAATTTGTCCACATCTTTCCCAAAGTGTGGTGCCCAGAACTAGACTCAATGCTCTAGATGAGGCCTTACCAGCATGGAGTAGAGGAAGAATTACTCCTTGTGTCTTGCTTACAACACTCCTGCTGACACATTGGTTTACACAGGGCATTTCCTGAGGCTCAATGACTGCGAGGAATTGTGCTGGAGGTGGGCACTCCAGGAACTGCTCAGGGATGAGACTGCTGCTGCTATTCTTGAAAGCAAATCATTGTATGTTCAATAATCCCCTGTGGGTAATTTTTCTATCTCTGATTTTTTCAGTGCCATGTGGCGGCTAGTCTGGCAACACAGGGAGCATCTAGAGGGCTGGTGCCATGTGTGTTAGCTGGCCACGACCTCCCCAAGCCCACTGTAGACTTCCAGGATGGCTCAGCCTGTGATAACTCATCCCTAACAGAAAGTCCTGCAGTGACTGGGACATGGCCGTGCTCTGGATTGCAGTTGGCCTGTATCAGCACGAGTGACAGGAAGGGAAGGTGGGCTACATGGCTACACTATGAGCAGGGCAGGGCATCTGTATCAGACAGTGGCCATGTTCAGTTTTGAAGACGTCTGTTTGGGGCTGTCTGGTTCCCTCCACTGCTGCTGAAGGTTCCTGTCTCAGGTCAGGACTCGTTTTATTCTTACTTCTTTTTCTGGACTATCCAGGGAGGGCTGGCAAAATGCCAGGGACATACTGGCCATGGTGAGGTAAGCGCTGTGCAAGCTCCGCCAAGGCTATCAGGAAGGAAAGGTCTCCAGCCAGAGCCTGTGGCACTGGAAAGAGCCTACTGCTTGATCAGGTGTAAAGGGTCACATGACAGGCAGCCAATCGGCAAAGATATGAGCAGGTCACTAGAATTTGTCGTCCCCACTTTCCTATCCCCCCAACGGCACCAGTTCCAGCCCTTCCCAGGGCATTCCTGGTCCAAGAGGGCCTCCCGACCATTGCCCCACATGCTGGCAGTGTCCCCTTCACTCACCGTCCTCTTTCCAGAGGGGAAGACGGCAGACGTTCCTGCACATGGCCACGAAGCTGTAGAAGTATTTCTCCAGGCTCTCATCTGTCTTCTTCTCCAAGCGGGAAATGGCTCGGAACTGGGTCCAGTCAAAGGCCTTCTTCTCCTGGTCATAGATGACCCCGAAGGAGGAGACAGTGCGGTAGAAATCTGCCTGCTCCCTTCTCGTCCATCTGCAGGGCAGGGAGAGACACGCATATTCATGAGACATATTTCTTTATAGTCTTGTGCTTTCCCACTGTGTCTGGTGCCAGTGAGAGGCACTAGCTGGAGAGCCCCGGGGAGCAGAGTGCTCCCTCACCCCCAGAACAGGCTCTGCACACACTTCCCTACAATGGCCTCAGGGACTTCCTCGGGGCCAGCCAGTTGTTGCCCTCTTGGCTCAGACATGAATAAGGGGCCCACTTGGTACCATTGTGGCAATAGTGGCTTTTGTGATGTGGACACTTGGCCAACAGGAACTGGGCTGACTCAGGCTGCAGAACCACCACCAGAGGTAGTGGCTTAGTCTGGGACATGCTCACCCCAGTGATGTAGAGCAGCCAGCCCCAGTCCCAGACAGCCATACAGTCTGTAGTTGTCAGGTACAGACAGCTGGATGAAAAGTTCAGTAGAGCTCTCCTGATCTGCAAAGCTTCCCAAAGAACTTCCCCAATCTGCAACTTCTTAGACAGATACCCTGTACAACTGGGTATCAGGCTGAAGCACCTGCAGGTGCAGAGCTCTTCTCCTGACTCACCCTTGGAGCTAGACTAAGTGGGTCTCATTAAACTCCACTTAGGCTCAGTCTCCCTGGCAGGAGATACAGAAGGAAAGGTAGAAGGCCCTGCAGGGAGAAATCCTGATCAGCCTGTCCATGAAGGAGTCTCAAGGATGGGCGCATGTTTGCAAGGGCAGCACTGCCTTGCTGAGAATGGCAGCAGCCCTTGCCAGACGAAGGGCTGGAGTTTGGGTGAGTGCCCGTTCAAGGATTTGCAATTTCACCCCGGGTTTCTGTCTGAGCAGCACGAGAGCAAAGGCATTTGATTGGGGCATTTAATTTTACAGATGGTTTGTCACTGTGCCCCAGTCTCTGCTTTCCTGTCATAGGGGAACAAGAGGCTTGCCTGATTAAATTAAACAGCAGCATACTTAGACCCAGTGCAAGGAAATGCTCCTCTACCCAGTGACCCTGTGCCTCCTGCTGTGCCAGCCAGTGCCATAGAGGGCAGTCAATGTAGCTGGATTTCAAAAGCAGTGGGTAACTCCTGGGCATTGGGCACACTAGTGACACAGGCTCAGGCTGTGAGGATGGTAATCCAACCTCATGCTTCTGGGTCCAGGTGGAGGGGCAGGAAGGATCCCCAGCCCCTCACACATGGCATGGCCCAAGTTGGTGTGTCCTGGCAGCACGGGGCAGTAGCCCCTGCAGGAGGTAGGAAGCCAGACTAGATGGCCCAGTCTGGCCCAGCAGTGTAACCCAGGCCACCAGAAATCCCCCTCATTCCTCCTTTCAAACAGCTGTTAGCTGGAATAGCTCCTGAAGGAGGCTGAGTCTTGGTCCAGCCTACATGGAATGAGGTCCAGACCCAGCCCATACTGGTGCCTGCCTGGGGGCTTGGGAGCTGCCCTGCAGGTGTTACCCCAGGCACCTGATTTCCGGCTGGGAGAGTGAAGGCGCTTTCTGGCCACAAGGGCAGGGCATGTGCCTGAGAGGAGATGTTGAGCCAGCTTGTCTTGGCTGCCTTGGGAAGACAGAGGCTGTTCTTGGGAGTTTCACTGGGTAAACGCAGGAGCCATTGACTCTCGGAAAGGGCCTGCTCAGCTGCTCTGTCGGCCAGTCCCCTCTGTTACCTTTTCTGCATTTCCTTGTTCACCGGGTCCATCTCAGCAGCTCTCCTGAACATCTCCTCCTGCAGCCAGTAGCCATGGTTACTGGGCACCAGCATCTCGGCTCGGGGGGGCAGCTCCTTGCGGTTGCAGCGCTGGTAGACGGTGACGAGCCGCCGCAGTCTGGCTGTGAGGGCGGACGAGACAGGCCAGCAGGATCTGTCTGAGTCGGAGCCATCCTGGGCTTCAAACATCAGCAAGGACATTAATATTTAACACACACAGCCAGAGGCAGGTGGGCGGGCAGGCTCGGGGCTCATTAAACAGCTCCCTACCCCTCACACAGAGGGGCCAGAGGATCAGGGCCAGGCCACGGCTGCCTCCATTCCCCAGGGCAGCAGGTGAGGGTGCCAGGGGCTGGCTGGCTGACCATCCGTGAGCCCTTCCTTCTGGACCCCTGCATCACAGCTCAGCTTGGCTTGTGGTCCTTTCAAACTGAGCCTAGTTTTGGGGAAAGGGGCTGGAACAAGAGCCGGCTCCATGTCACCCTGAAGCATGCCCAGCTCTCATGCGAGAGGGCGGCGTGGCCAATGGCTCATTCGGCCAGTCTCCATTCTGCAAGGGGGCTGCTAGCACTGGCCCTGCTTGCTGCCTTCTGTAACGGGGTAATTCCTTCCCTGGGGCTGGGTGTGATCAGTGCTTCCAGAAGGCACAGTTCAGCTCCCCACTGTTGTTACCCAGGGCTCCCCAGCTGTCCTCTGTGCCCCAGAGAGGTACATGCCGGCTGTTTAAGAACACACTGTCATTGTTGGACAGTTTGACGTTAACAGCACAGATGTCTTGCATAGCGCTGCCTTCCTGCTGCCTTCTGTTACTACAGCGCCTAGTAACCCCAGCTTTGGGCAGGGGCCCCCACGCGGAGTGCCACACACACAGAGCAAGCCGTCCAGAAGGCACAGCCTCACCTGCCACATTGTCATCCTGCTTCTCGGCAGCTTCTCCACACAAATTCCCAGAATCCTGCAGGAAAAGTAAGACCCAGGTCATCAAAATCCACCTTGAGAGGAGAGCATCTGCCCACCCGGCCAGGAGCAGGTGTCAAAAGGATCCAAGCAGCCACACACGCCCGTCCGCTCCCAATTCCTAGCTGCAGGGTTTGCAGGCAGCCCCTGTCAAGCAATGGGAGCTCCTCACTCTCTGGCTGCAGGGAGCCGCTCTCACGTCCCAGTCCAGACGCTCCCCCATGTTGGCCCTTGCCCGGTAGGGCCACACGAACATTAATGCTCTTGTGTCGCTCTGGGGCGTTACAGTGGACTCCCTGGTCGGGGAGAACCGCTGACCCCGCAACATGTGCTCTGCCCTAGATGGAGAGCAGCCCAGAAGAGTGCAGAGCTCAGCTGCTGCTGAAGGGCCCAGTGCTCCCAGGGAGCCACTGGAAAGAGAGGGTGTGACCCTAGCCCCTGCCAGCCCAGAGAGGGCAGAGCCGGGCCCAGGACGCACTGATCCTGCACCTTGCTCTGGGGCCCAGCTACCCTGCACTAAGGTGGGGGACAGTCCATATAACTCTTGGCATCATCGAAGGGTCTGGCAGGATCGGGTGTCCCTGCAGGCCCTGGGAAGAGGCATGGAGCCAGGGTGACTTAGGTGCTGTCTCAGAGCCCTCTGGAAGAAGGCAAATCCTGCAGATGGACGGATCCATGGTGCAGGGAAGAAGGTTTGGGACTCGCGAGGGGCAGAGGCAGGAGTGGGGCAAACAAGGCAGAAGGGCCACTAGCCCGTGGCTGAGCTCTCCTGGAGGCAGCAGTGGAGGAAGCGATAGTGGGACAGCGAGGTGTGTTATCCAGGGTTGTCTGGCCAGACCCTGATGGGCAGGACGGCTCAAACTCTGTCACACTGTCTGCCTGCGGGCTGCCCCTGCTGGAGCTGCACCCGCCCTAGCCAGGCTAGGGCCTTCTAGAGAAAGAGCAAGCACCACCCCATGGGCAGGGGAAGAGCCATCTCTAGGGGCCCTGGCAATCCCACCCTCCATTCTGGGCACCTTGACGCCAGGGCAACAGGTGCAAACTGGGGGCTCAGATGTGAGCAGTGAACACACTCAGAGCCTGCAAGGGCTGTTTCCTGGAGAGACGGATGGCTCACTCCTGCCTGGCTCAGTGATGTCGAAGGTGACAGCAGTGGGCCACAGCTGGGAGTGGTGCAGCCCAAGTGGTACAAGGGGGTAGCTTGGAAGAGAAGAGGTCTCAGGGAAAGCTGGCTGGGTGTAAGCTGTACCAGGCTGGGGGATTATTGACCAGGGCAGGGGGCAGTGACATCACTGGGGCCTTTTATGACCAGTCTGCACTGGACAGGGAAAAGGGGCTGTGGGAAGGGTCCTGTGCGGGAATACTGGACAATCCCACTCGGCATGAGTCCCATTTCCCAGGGAGTTGGGGGCGCAGGGGGTCGAGTTACCTGGAGAAAGGCAGACCCAGCAGCATGGATCTAAAGCTACAGAGGGAGAGCACAGCACGGCTAATGCAGATACTGGGGAGAGTGGAGGGCTGCTGCCCCAGGTCCTTTTAAGAGGAAGCGTCTCAATGTGCCACAAGCTGCAGCCTCTGTGGAGCCAAGTCAAACAAGTGGCATGTGCATTGCTGCAGCGTCTGCTGGGCTTCGGAAGCCGCCTGTTCTCCCTGTGCAGCTCAGTCTGCTGCCCCCAGGAAGGCGCCTGGACAGAGAACATGTCAGTTCCCCCCAGACACAGAGGCTGCTGGAGACAGAGTGGACAGCCTTTCCTCAGCCCCGCAGGATCTCAGATGAGAAGCAGCTGCTGCTCAGGGCTGAGTGATTTGCAGGGGCAGCACATGACAGGGGTGGGGCTCTGCTGGGGCCCTTCCCTCTGCCAGCCTAAGGGTGGTAAGTGGGGATCCCAGCTGTGAGGATCAGCAGCTGAACAGAGGGTTTGTGCTGCCCTCCCCGTCAGAATGAACCCGGACAGCACAGGGTGGGGCTGATGATGCTGGCCCCTCTTCACTGCTGGCCGGCCCAGGCCCCATCACTGCACTCGCTACCCTGCAGCTCCAGAGTCGTTCCTTCTAAATCCTTCCCTGCTGAGCCTTGCCTCATCTCCCACTCTGCACCCTCCCCTCAGTGCCTCCCCTCCTCTGCTCTCCTCCCCTGGGTGCTAGGTGTGGAGGCTGGGCTGTCCTGGGCCAGGCTAGGCACCAGGCGGGGGGCAGGGGGCTGAGCTAGATACCAGGCTGGGGTTCCCTAGGCCATGGTGCCAGGCTGGGGGAGGTGGGCTGGGCTGGGGGGGGGGTTAGGCTGCCCTGGGCCGAGCTAGGTGCCAGGCTGGGGAAAGGGGGCATGGGCAGGCTGCCCTGGCACCCAGTATGTTGGCCCTAGTGGAGGTACTGCAGGGCTGGGGGTGGTGGAGGAGGTGCCCAAGCACTCTGAGATCCTACTGATCATCAGGCTCCTGCCTGGGGCTGGTCCTAGCCCAGCCCCATGGGAAGAGCCGGTCTTGGCATTTATCGTAACCAAGTCCTCAGCCAAACAGGGTAGGGCTCTGCTGGCAGTGAGATGGTGAGATCTCTGCTGACTGGCCGGCCTGGGCACATCCAGGAATCAGCTGACTGGAGACCAACACCCAGGATCCCACAGTGGGGGGATTTCCAAAGGATACCGACCCGTCCCGTGCAGCAACGTCACTCACTCGCACGCTCCGTCCCAGCAGCCACGGTGCTCCTGGGAGCAGTCACAGACAGCCTGGGCACCAGGCACCCTCCCAACAGCTGTCCCTGCTGAGCCCCACTAACAGCAAACTGGCTCTGCCATGGGGGAAAGGTGGGGGTCCAGCCTACTGCTCTTTCCCTAGCCACGGCAGAACACCAGGTGTCTCCCGAGCCAGCAGGGAGCAGGCCTGGCTGGGGCAGAGGAGCTGTTCTCATCTGCGGGAAGCCCCACTCACCTCCTGCTGTGGCAGCCCCTCCACTCTGTCTCCGCTGTTCTCTTCTTTCTCAACGTTTCCTCTAGACAAAACAACCCGATAGAGCATTAGCCTTTGCCCACCCCAGCAATGCCCCAGCGCCTGCAAGGTGAGAGCCAGCTCCCTCACTTTCACACTGCCTGGGCACCCTTGTTGGCTGCCCTCCTGTCATATGCCCGAGCATGGACCTGCTCCCTGATCTCCACCTGCAGGAGGGAACTGACATTCAGGACATTCTCAACCTTTATGTTTGCAAAGCTGGCAAAGAACCCAGCACCAGTCCCGGCTCCGGGCTCAGTTCTGGGATTCTCTGGTGACACACATCGCCGCTCACCCACCTGCTAGAGCACGCCAGCCAGCCAGCACTTCTTTCCCCATTTCCTGCAATCGGGGGCTGTGAACTCTCTGATCAGCCCCTCACCCCCGCAGCCAATGAGCTGCTCCCCAAAGCACAGCACAGCACAGCATCTAAAGGGCTTGCGTGTGTCAGTACCCCTAGCTGGGTGGGAGAACCTGCGTCTAGGTGAGTGTGAGTGGCACATGCACCTCCCTGGCCCATTGAGGGAATTCACCCAGGGGAGCAGCTCCCACACACCTGGTACCCTGCCTGCCCTCTCCCACTATGATACACAGTCATGCCCAGCAAACACTGGCATTCCCCTGTTGCCCTGCATGCACAGGCACCCTGCTGGGCTGCTGGCTTACCCTCCTCTCTGCTCTCACTCCATTCTGATGCTCACCCCCAGAGAACAGCATGACGCTGGTCCTGCTTCTTCTGCTCTGAGGAGCCAGCCAGACCCCTGCCTCCTCCTGCCCCCACCCACCTTTCTGCAGTATCCTGTGCCCCATCGCTGACGCCCTGCTCCGCAGACAGCAGCTTCTCGTCTGGCATGCCCACCTTCTCCAGGAAGCACAGTGCTGGGTCTGCTCGCATGGCGTTGTACCTCTCGTAACCTGCCAACACCACAGCTGACATTAAACGGGATACTGTCCTAGCCAGGGGCCAGGCCACCCGGGACCGGCTTTGGCTAAACTCTGGCTGTGCCAGTGGGGCCTGCCTGAGTGCACCTGTCTCCAGAGTTAGGACCTTGTTGTCTGGCCCACAGATGACATGGCGCCTCAATAGCAAGTTTCACCCAAAGCATCCAAAGCCAAACAAATGGCAGCTGTTTAATCCGCAGCCCTTCTGTCTGGGAGACAGACACACAGGAATCAACCTGTCTGCCCCAGAGATGTAGCCACTTCTGGGATGGAACGCAGCACCAGGGTAACAGTTTAGGACAGGCAGTACAGACTCCTGTCTCCAATGGAAATTGCAAGAGGAGTTTCAAGAGGCAGAATGTATTGAGCTGAGATAGAATTTGGCCAGGAATGTGGATGCTCCCCCCAAGTCCCTGAGTCAGGCGCTTGGTTTGATATGGCCACGCTCTGCAACAGACCAGCGCCTGCTAGCCCCACTCTGCCCCCTTTATCAGGGCGAACACAGGTGTTGGAGTGTCTCTACTGAGTCACATGGGGCGAGGCCCAACTCCTTGCAACTTGGGAGAGCGAATGGAGCTACAGCCCCAGGCGGTTTGGCTCAGCCCGGCCCCCAGGTGAGCTGGCCCGGAGTGGATGTCCGGGACATGAGTGCTCAGCACTGCCAGGTCATGGCAGCAAAAACATGCGGCTTCCTGGGGCTCCTCGCTGGAGCACCCAGGATGGGGTGGGACCCCGTGTGTGACATTCCACTAGCTTCGCCCTGGGGAGGGGTCTGGAACATCGGCATGGTGCTCTGAACTCAGCAGCCACTCCTGGCTCCTGGCTAGGGCAGCGGGAGTACCCCAGCACACCGGGGCGGGGAGCAGCACTTGGCAGGGCAATACCGTGTTTGAAAACTCCAATAAGCAGCGATTTATCGGCCTCTGCATTCCACCAGTCCACTGGGATCTCCACGTAGTCGATGTCCGGCAGCAGCACGTCCAGCTCCCTGAGAGGGACAGGCCATGAATGCACCCTGCTCTGGACTCCCCGGGAACCCCTGCTTCTGCAGATAGCTGAGTGGGCGATACTGGGGGAGCTGGGGACTAGCCTTCTGCCTTGATAGCGCTCTGGTGATTGCTTCTCCAGAGACACTGGGGTCAGGTCTTGCCTTCCGCTGTGTGCGAGCTCCCCAGACGCCAAGGGGACCAGTCATGGTCCCAATCTGGACTGACACTGCGCTAGCTGAATCCTGCTGTTGGCTTCCCCTACACACACACACACGTGTCACAGGACCCTCCTGTGTGACAGGGATGGTGGGCATGGCCCAGCCCCCACCCATCCTACTCAGCCTGGCTGGCCCATGAGCTCCCAGGGCTCATTTGAATGGTATTTGCTTTAAGGCTGGGGAAAGTTTCCACTAAAGATACCAGCCACCGACAGAGCAAAAGCAAGGGAAAGCAGCAATCTGCTGGAGTGCACCGAGCCTTCAGAGTGGCAGGCAGCACCCTCCCTGGCCTCCCTCCAGTGAGCTCCTGGGACACAGACTGACTGCACCTGTGCTGGGCACAGGAGCACCCTGGGAAAGCAGCAGCGTCTGCTGAGACAGGAAAGCGGAGGGTTTCAATAAAGGATCAGGCTCAGTGAGCTCAGCAAACCTTGCTCTCCTCTACCATCCTGGTGGCTCCCTCTGCCACTGCTCGTTATGTGACGCCAGGGCAATTACCAGGCTTTGCCCAACCCAGCATCCCTTTGGGGACTTCAGGAGCCAGAGGGCTGCAGCCATTTCAGTCCCCCATGCTCCCTGCAGAGTAGAGGGAGGAAATGCAGGTCCCAGCAGGCAATGCTCCACTATGGTTTGAGCCACCTGGCTTGGGTGCCCAGGCTAGGTCAGGATTGACTGGGGGCTACAGCTTCATATTAGAAGTGAATTTGTTGGGCTGCACTGTGGGGAATCCTGATTCCCAGCACGCTGGGGCTGGCAGGGTTAGCCGCAGCCCTCTGCACTAGGTGAAGTCATTCCAGCCAATCAAGCTTCAAATTAACGCGCACCTGCACACGTGTGTGCATCTCTGGGGAGTGCATGAGCGTAGGGGGTCTGCATGTGCCTCAGCATGCACACCCATGTGTACATGTGTATGCATGTAGCCCAGCGCAGTTCTGAATGGTGTTATTTCACAGGAGCAGTGGTCCTGTCCCCTGGCCAAAGGAGCCCGCTGTCCCTGCTCAGCTCCGCTGCAGAGGGAGCTCTCTAAGCTGCAGGGCCAGCCTCTAGGGCTCAATCCTGCAGTCTCTACTCAGGCAGAGCCGCCACCAATGGCAACAGGAGTTTTGCTTGAGTGAGAACTGCAGGATTTGGCTTCAGACACTGTGAGGTGACTGACCCCTCTCACGCTGGCACAGTGCTGCTGGTGACTTCAGCTAGACAGCAGCTGGGCAGCTCCCCCATGCCAGCGCAGAGCAGGCAGGGAGCTCCTCATGCAGCAGGGGCGCTGCAGCCAAAGATATCTGTCGCTGTAACTCCGCAGCTGGGCATGCAAACCGATCCAGGCTGCTGAGAGCATCATACCTGGCCGGGATCCCTTCGAAGGCTTTGTCAGCCACCTCTCCCAGCACTTCAGCTTTCAGATAGTAGAGCATTCGCACCCGCAGCAGCACCCTGCCAAGGGAAAGGGGCAGGTCAATACAGACAGAGCACTGGGCTAGGATCCAGTATAGCACAGCCCCACACACAGTGTTTATGGGCCAGCTGGTCTGTATGGCGGCATGGGGCAGTGGGGATCGCTGCCCAGGCCTGCAGCGTGTGCGGTTATATACCAGGACAGACATGGTGGGAAGCCACTCCCCTTCTCATGACACCACCCTCCAAGGCTGAGCGCAGGCATGGCAGCAGCTTCGCCTGTCCTTAGCTGCCCCTCGCACTGTGACACAGCAGGACATCAGCCCCAAGAGGGGAGGCCTGAAGAAGCTGGAACATGGGGACTAGAGAGCAGGCCCCGTCCACATGGGAAAACGGCTCAGGCTGGCAGGGAACAGGCTCCTTAATCAGCTCAGTGGGCTGTGGGCCTGATCCCCACCACCTGGGCATCAGAGATCTCACCTCACTAACCCTGTAATCAAGCAGGCTTAAAACACTCATGAAGGAGCTCACCAGGAGAGGGGAGGTGCCAGGCTGGGTACCCGCCTCCCCAGCAATGGCAGCGACACACCTCACTCCTAACCCAGTGAGGGAGGGGGCTGCGCTACTTACAGTGCTCATGGCTAGGAGAGCTCTTGCTGGGAGCTGGGATGCAGCATCCTCTGAGTGGGTGAGGAAACAGCTCTGGGTTACTGATTTGTTAAAATAATGTCTCTCAGTTCTCCCTGCAAAGAGCTGTACCTGCTGGGCCCCACTCTCCAGGCCCCAAGAGCTGGCCACCACCCTACAGGGCCCCAAGAGCCATCCCCCTCCAGGCTCCACCTCCCCAGCCCACAAGAGCAGCTCCCCCAGGCCCCAAGAGCCATCCCCCTCCAGACTCTGCCCCTCTGGTCCCAAGAGCTGCCCCCCACCAGGTCCCAAGAGCCGTCCCCCTCCAGGCTCAGCCCCCGGGTCCCAAAAGCAGTCCCACTCCAGGCTCTGCGCCCCCCCCGAGGTCCCAAGAGCTGTCCCCCTCAAGACTTTGCCCCTCTGGTCCCAAGAGCCATCCCCCTCCAGGCTCCGCCCTCTCCCACCCCTCCCCCTGGTCACAACAACTGTCCCACTACAGGCTCCGCACCTCCGGATCCCAAGAGCCGTCCCGCTCCAGGCTCCGCCTCCCCGGCCCCCAAGAGCCATCCCACTCCAGGCTCCGCCCCCGGGTCCCAAGAGCCATCCCCCTCCAGCTACCACTAATGCACAAGTCTGCACCATGGGGTGCTCAGGTATTTGACCAGCCCTGCTTCCCAAGTCCCTGACCACAGACAGCTGTGACAATACGGAAGTATCCTGAATGCCAGCTGAGCTGTGGGGAGTGCCCTGCACCTACCGGCAGGAAGATGAGAATTCCGTAGGGCTGCAGCTTTACAGCACTTTACAGCATGGCAAGAACTATCCAAGGTCTGACGACCCAGTGGGCACCGACCCAACATCCCCACTGGCCTCTCCATACTGACTGCCCAGGTCCGTCCTGCCCCTTCCTCTCCAGACTCTGCGCTGCAGCCCAGTGGCACGACGCCAGCTGGGGGCATATGGCCTCGCTCTGGGCCCAGGGCGGGACGCACAGCATGGAGTGTGCGCCGCAGTCCCCCCAGGGCAGGGGCTCACACTCACTTGTTGCAGTGCTGTTTCAGGTGCTTTTTGTAGCTGTCATCGTGCAGGACTATCTCGGGGTTGCAGCTGGCCAGCCAGTCCGCGTTCTTTATCTCAGGGAGCAGCATCTGGTTCTTCATCTTCTTCCCCTTCCTGCCCCTGGGCACTGGGGCTGACAGCCCTGCAACAGCGAGAGGGAGTGCATTAGCGGCACTGCTGCAGGCCACACACCACCCTGATGGGCACCTGATAAATGCGCTGGATCAGACAGGACACAGACACTGGCTGGCAGGAGCAGTGCAGCTGGAAGGACTGAAAGCCAGCCCTTGTAATGCTCTTTAACCCTCATGCCACAGCTCAGGCGGGAGTGGGGGAGCCAGAGAAAAGGCAGGCAGCATACCCAGTGTGTCTGTCCAGGCACAATCCCATAGCAGAGCCATGCGTACGTGGTGCCCTAGTTAAACCAGGTCAGGCCATGCCACATCCACACCTTCCCAGCAGCCTAAATGCATGGGACAGTTCTGAGCGCAGGAGGTGGCTTGGCAGGACAGGCTGCTGGACGCCGCTGCTGGCAACCCCGTCCACAGAACGGAAGCAAGCTGGCCCAGGCTCTCGGCAGCCTGAACGTCGACGTTGTCAGATACAGGCCCGTGGAAAGATGTCAGGTTGTGTGCTGGGACAGGAAGCAGGTGCTCCAACACCTGCACTCTGCCTCACACAACCCACCTCCCCGCTCCACACCAGCAGGCCCAGACCAGCCACGGCTCTCCCCAATACACTCTGGCCGCACCCTCTGCAGTGCCATTGCACATCCACATCTCCACGCACTGCTGCGCACAGCCAATGCTCAGCGCTTCCCTAACACACAAAGCAGACCCAGCTCAGGCTCTAAACTCAGCTCCACTGTAGCCCCACCAAAGCTACTCCAGCTTTCTCCGGATGGAGGTGACAGCAGAACCCAGCACAGACATCAGGGCCAGACACCCCTGATGAGATGGCATCCAAGCAGATCTGTACCCATGGCACCTGCCAGTCAGAATCCTCACCTCTTCTATACAGCAGAGCCAGCCTTATGCCACGCAGGTGGGGGCGGAGTCGTCCTTGGAGTCTATTCCCTGGATTGGTTCCCTGGCCACGTTTCCCTGTGTTTTCATTCCAACCAGCTATTGCCGTTTCGCTACTTGCATGAATCCCTCTAACCCTGGACAGGCCCAACTCACACACTCCTCCTCTCAGGACAGGACCAATTCCCCTTCAGCCGCTCTCCAGACCTTTCCCTGCTGTGGCTGCCATTGCACAGGGTCGGGGCATGGGCTGGAATTCAGTCCTGTATTGCCCGCCGCACGCCCAGACTCATGGAAGCAGAGACCTCCCCAGGAGCTGACTGAGAGGTTCCGAGGCTTCCCCTTGCTAGGGATCCAGCTGGGTTACATTCAGTGCTGCAACTGCAGTGCAGCGTTCATGACCCTCAACGGACCATGCCCCTTGCTCGTTGCATTACTGAAATGTGAGCCCGTAAGTGCCACCCTATCAGTTTTACTATTGCTCCATTTCATGCTCGTGCACTGGTGTACGCCCAGTGACGCAGCTCTGCCAGCGTCCCAGGTGTGTGCCATGGTTCCTTTGGTCTGACCAGCACACACCTGATCCCCCAGCCCCGGACCATCCTACTGAGATGGCTCGAGTGCTGGACGAAATGGCGATATTAACTCAGAACAGTAGACGATGGCGTCATTCACGCCCAGGGAGAGATGCATTGGACGTGAACGTAACCCAACAGCACCAGGCATGGGGGGATTCCAGACTGGACCTGGGACTTCAAATCCACCACAGAGCCCGGCTGCTTTCTCCTGCACCGGATGGGAGAGCCTCACACTTTATACTGCTAACAGCCTCTGGTATGCCCTGTGGAGCGGTAACGGGAGCAGCTGCCTCAGCTTTCAACATGGCTCACCTGTGACAAACTACTGAAAGGCAGCGCTGGGAGCCAGCCGGAATGAGCTGCCAAACTTAAAGAACATTGTGCCATGGATCGGGGCACCCACACAGTGCCCCGCCAAGGGGTGCAGCCAGGTGCCAGGCCTCATTTGTATTAGATCTCAGTACCCCAGATGAGGATTCCCCCCACCCTTTGTGAAGCGCTGGGGGATCTACAGACAAGCAGTGTCCCACAGGGGATGGCGACTACAGAATGGAGTGGAGTCATCTTTAACATAGTGTGGCTGCCTGCAGAGACCACAGGTCCAAGCATGCAGCCAGCACTGGCCACACCTCCATAGTTCTGAGAATAAAGGCCACTATGGGCTGCACTCTGCAGGCGACATTTGCCCCCCATCCCTGATGGGCCCAAGCCTGTTCACTGGTCTAAGTAACAATCTAGGCCTCAGGATCAGACAGCTCAGGTTGGTCTGGTGCCCTAACTCTCCAGCCCAAGGTTCCCTCTCAGCTGGGCCAGGGCTGGCCATCTCCTGTATCAGAGAGCCCCCTCTGCCATTGCCTCCAGGGTCTGGATGCAAGTCAGTTCTGTGACCCCCTGGCCCCGACACAGCGGTTCCTTGTTGCCCAGCTCTGGCTCTTTGTGTGGCTTCTGGGACCCGCTCTAGTTTAACTCTCTAGTCCTGGGCACTGAAAGCTGGGCGTGCTGGCAGCTGAGCAATAACTGGCGGGAGAGAGAGTACCTGAGTGATTTTGCAGGGCCTGGTTCTGGCCGTCCTTCGTCGGAGTGATCAGATCCCAGATAAAACTCTTAATCTTCTCATCTCCCTTGTAGTGTTTGACGCAATAGACCAGGAGGGCCCGGCAAATCATCTCCATGTCCTTCTCATTCAGGTGCCATTTGAACCGTCCGTGGGTCAGGATATCCTTCCAGCGCCCCCAGCTGGAGGAGCAGAAACACACACCGTAAACACTGCAAGTGACTGCACTTTTCTAGTGCCCTCCAGTGGGGAGCTCACAACACTGCATGGGACACTAATGGACAAAGCCTGGCCAGTCCCTGGGGAAGTAGGGAAACTGAGGCACAGAAAGGGGTGGGATTCATCAGCATCACACACTGGGTCAATGGCAGAGGCAGGAAAAGAACCTAGGAGTCCTGACTCCCAGCCCATGCTCTAGCCACGAACCACACTTCCTCCCATAGACGTGGGGTTTGGGCACGCAGCAGGTCCCCCCGGCGGGGCACTAGCTCTGCAGCTCCCTGCCAGGTTCATGCCCTCCTGTGCAGCAGCCTGTGACAGGCACAGACAGACAACAGCAAACATGTGACACCAAACCACCCGAGAGCCACAGCTGCGCTTGGGGTCAGCCCAGCCTCACATGGCATGCAGATCCCAGATGAGACCCACCCGAATATGAGTAGGTTCTTCTCCACGCGGAAGCACTCGGCCCGCAGGTAGCGCCGCGTCTTCTCATTGAGGCGTCGCGAGCGCGTGGGCCGCTCGTCGGAGTCACTGTCCAGCTCCGAGAACTCCATCAGCTCATCCTCCTCAAAGGAGTTGTAGTGCTTGGTCTGCTTGCGGACACGGGGCCTGTCGATCACTAAGCTCTCCTGCAGGGGGAGATAGTGAGAAGCTAGTGCACCCAGAACCACCCAGCAGACCCTTCCCTCTGCACGGTGCCCCCCTTGGCCACTCGCACGAGGTGTGGGGATGCTTCCCTCCTCTGTGCTGCCTTCTGGCCTCAGCAACTCCTAGCTCCACCCAGCTCTCTCCATGCCTAGCATCACACCCAGCATCTGGTACCAGACCCAGATGGCCTGTTCAACGCCCAGCCACTATGGACTGCCACCCACAATTAACTGTGGGTGCAAAAAATGGAGGTTACTTACTGTACCTGGAGGCTCTTTCAGACTCCACATGTGAGTAGGCAAGTACCCCATGCGGCCGAGTCCAGAAATTCTTCCAAGCAGTGTCCATTGGCCCCTACACACGCCATAGATCTCCTTATGCTCCCAACTAAGGATATAAGAGACAGTGCAGGCTGCCGTCATTCCTCCTCTTATTGCAAATCCAACAGGATCTGAAGCAGAGGGGAGGGAGGACGGGTAGTGAATACAGATAGGGACATACATCTTGAAGAACCTCCAGTTACAGTAAGTAACTTCCATTTCTTCTTAGAGTGCTGGTCCCTGTGTGTATTTTACATGTGGATGATTGGCAAGCAGTGCTCAGACTGCAAGTGGGTGCTTGGAAGCTGGTAGCAAAGATGCTTGCAGCACTGCAGATCCCACTGCTGCATCCGCAGCATGAACTAAAGCGCAGTGCATTGTGAACATGTGGACAGAACTCCAGGTGGTCGCTTTGCAAATGTCTTGTAGTGGGACATCATGTAGGGATGCTGTGGAGGTGGCCTGCGCCCTCGTGGAATGAACTGTGACAGCCACAGGGGGAGGGATCTTTGCTTCCCGATAGCACTCTAGGATGCATCCTGAAATCCACTTAGAAATCCTCTGGTTTGCCCACGCGATCTGCCTGAAATGGCAATAAAAAGTCTTGATGATTTCCTAATGGGTTTCGTTCTTTGCAGGTAGAACACCAGGGCACGTCAAACACAGAGGCAGTGAAGTCTCTTGTCTTCAGCAGAAGCATGAGGTTTTGGGAAAAGTACAGATAAGCGAATACTTTGGTTGATGTAGAATTCAGAAACAACCCTGGGGAGAAACTTAGGATGTAGGCGAAGGGAAACCTTTTCTTTGTGAAAAACTGTAATAAGGAGGGTCCGCAATGATGGCTCCCAGCTTGCTGACCCTCCTGGCTGAAATGATAGCTACTAAAAATGCCATCTTCCTGGATAGGCAGGTAGGTCATGGAACATGTTGCCATGGTCTCGAAGGGCGAATTGGTGAGTGTCGACAGTCCCACTGTGGTGTGCCCACTGCGTGAATATCTCGCTTAGGACTGAATTGTTCATCTCCCACGCATGGTCCATCGAGAAGTGACTGCTCAGTTTGGAGCTGTGGATACCTGGAAGGTAAGTGGCCTGCATCATGATGTGATTCCAGATGCACCAGTCTCAAAGTTTGATGGCTTCCAGCTTTAACTCTGGCAGGTGATATCCACATGCATTCCATCATCTCAATGGTCTGGACTGTTCACAAGTAAGGAGACTGATGCAGTCATTGCAGCCATGAAATTGGGCAAAGCAGTGGGAAAAGACAGTGTCTGTCCTGAGTCCCTATATAACCTGAGTTCACTGGCATGGAAATGGGTGAGAAGTTCTTCACCTACATTTTGGAGACCATTGAAATTCCCTGTGTGTAGCAAGAAGCCAAGGTCATTGCACTCCTAAAGTCTGGGAAACCTGTGGATCACCCTTCTAGTTCTAAGCCAGTCTCTCTTGAGCACCACCTACAAGGTGATGGAGCGTATGATTGTGAACCAAATCGGGTCCACAGTGGACAGTAGCCTACCCAAGAAGCAAGCTGGTTTTCGACCGCACAGAAGTTGCTGTGACCAGGTCCTGGCTTTCACTACAAACATTAAGGCTGAATTCCAACAAAAACTCAAGATTGGTAATGCTTTCATTGATCTGTCAGCAGCACGTGACGTAGTCTAGAAGGATGGTCTGCTACTGAAACTGGCCAAAGTGAACCCGTGTGTGGATTCTCAGGCTACTGAACACCATGCTTAGTGGCCAAAGGATGTTCGTATACCTCAGAGGCAAACCAGCAAGCTGCACACTTTAAATAATGGGCTACCACAAGGCTCTGTACTTGCTCCGACCCTCTTCAATGCATATGTGAGCGATATACCTGAAATGATAGTGCACTATTTTGAGTATGCTGATGATATGGCACTTACAACTCAGGCTCATAGCTTTAAAGAACTTGAAGTGACCCTTACATCCGACCTTAAGATCACGGAGGAGTACTTCGAAAAGTGGCATCTGAGACCAAATTCGGGCAAATTGGTAGTCTCTACTTTCCACCTTGACAAGAGAATCGCACAAAACACTCTGTTGAGTTTTGTGGTGAAACTGTGTATTAAGACCCAAAGCCAACATATTTTGGCATCATTCTTGACCACACACTGACCTTGCATGACCACCTCAAGACAGTAGCCTCCAAAGCAAAGACTTGCATCAACATAATTCGAAAGTTAGCAGGAACAAGCTGGAGATCAACTGCCTCAGTGCTACAAACATCGGCCTTGGCCTTGGTGTACTCAGTTAGAGTACTGTACACCGATGAGGACAAAAAGCTGCCATACCCAACTTGTGGATAGGCAGCTGAATTAGACCATGCAATTCATCATGGGACCTTTAAAATCAACACCTCTACTGTGGCTTTCTGTATTAGCAAACACCGAATCCCCAGCTATCCGTTGAGATATAGCCACAGCATGAGAACTTAAACACACCAGACTACCCAGAACTTCCCATCTGGCAGGTTATGGATAACATACCCCAACAATGCCTGAAATTGTGAAAACCACTTTGGACCACACGTGACCATCTCATGTCTCTGGATCTGGGCAGGGAATGGTGAAGTGTCTGGACCTCATCTACCATTCCAAACAAGCACATTATTGCTGACACAACAAAATGCCCTCCCAGTTTTGTCCTGCCACAGATACTTTGGACCACACTGAACTGCATTTGAATAAACCACAGAAGATGTGGCTACTTGATGTACAAGTGGAAAATCAAAGACTCACCTTTGCATGACTGCAGTGAGAGCATCCAAACATTGAACACATCATAACACAGTGTCCCAAATCTGGATTCAAAGGTGAATTGGATGATATCCATGTCACAGAGAAGGCCTTGAAATGGCTTATAGATCTACAACTGCATCTATAGAATGTTGCTTTGCAGATGCCATACGTGCAATAGAGAGACAGAGAGAGCCAGTTTCCAAGGAGAGGGGATGAGACCTTGATCTGCCCTATTTGCATCATGGTGGTGATATTGTCTGACATCACCTGTATATGGAAGGAGCGAATTACCAGAAGGAAAGCCTTGCATGCAAGGCGGACTACCCACACTTCTCCTACGTTTATACGTAGCCTGGCCTCTCGTGGGATCCAGGTTTCCTGAGCAGTGTAGTTATTCAGGTGAACGCCCCAACCTAGAAGGGAGGCATCAATCACAATGGTGGCTTTGAGGGTGGGCAGGTTGAAGGCAACACCCACCATGACCTTTTTCGGGTTCTACCACCAGGCGAGGTGGGCAATAACTCCAGTTGATGTGGTCCTTGTTTGGTGGATAGATCGAGTGGATCCAAGCTTGTAGGTATCGCAAGTGAAGCCTGGTGAACAGTGTCACGTAAATATGTGTGGGCATGTGGCCTAACAGTGAAAGGGACACGTGCACTGTAGTTCTTGGTTTGCAGGTAATGCGTGAAACCAGATTGCTCATTATGTGAAACCTGTCAGCGGGGAGAAATGCTCTCACTGAAACCAAGTCCAATGATGCTCCTATAAAGTTTATCATCCTTGTGGGTAACAAAACAGACCTTTTTCTATTTTTGCAGCACCTAGAGCTACCAGAAGTTTTATGAGAAACTGTTGCTGACCTGACCTCCGCCAGGTGATAATAATAAATTGCATGAGGAGGGGGTGGCCTTGGTCTAAAAGGCTGTCTCTAGTGTTTCCTCCAGGGAGCTGGAGAGTAAATTTCCAGGGAACACGGAGTGTCCTTTAATGAATGCAGGGACTTGAGTCCTTTAATGAATGCAGTTAGACAAACACCTATCATGGATGGTCTACATAATACTTAGTTCTGCCCTAAATGCAGGGGACTGGATTAAGTGACCTCTCGAGGTCCCTTCCAGTCCTACGATTCTAGGATTCTATGACTCATCTGTTCGCTCACTGAAGAGATTTGATTCATCAAAGGGGAAGTGCTAGATGGCGTTCTGGATCTCCCTAGGAAACCCTGATGATTGCAGCCAAGAATTCCTCCTCATGACTAAGCCAGAGGCCAGATTCTGGCAGCTGTATCCACTACTTCCACTATGGCCTGGAAAGCTGTTTTTGCCATTAGCTTTCCCTCATTTATAAAGGACCGACATTGGGCTCTATCCTCTGTGGGAAGCTTATCTATGAAATTTGCAAGCCCAGAATAGTTATTGAAGTCATATTTCACTAACAGAGCTTGGTAGTTAGCAACATGAAATTGCAGGCCTTGGAGGAGAAGACCTTTCTTCCAAGGGGATCCAGTCTCTTAGAGCACTTGTCTGTTGGGGTGATCCTTTGATAGTGTACCACGCTCTTTCTGTAGCTACCTGTACCAGTGAGATGGGGGCAAGGTGGGAGAACAAAAATTCAGCTCCCTTAGTGGGAATGAAATATCTCCTCTCAGCTGTCTTCAGAGTAGGGGTACAAGATGCTGGATTGAGCCATATACTGTGGCTGGTTCTAGGCTGGCTTCATTAACCAGGAGGGCCATCTTGCTTGGTCCCTGAGGTTTCAAAATATCCAGAAGCTGGTGTTGAGGGTCCTGGGCTTCCTCCAGTGGGATCTGGAGCTCACTGGCAATTCTTTGCAGTAGCTCATGGTACCGCCCATTGTCATCCAGCAGAGACAGAGAGGAAAAAGTGACCACTTC